ATTCATCCACTCATGAGGACCCCTGTGTCATACCTGTCCCACCTTCTCCTATAACAATAGTCCCTGATGTACAGGATCTCACAGAGATGCAAGATTCTTAGATTGGGAATTTTCAACAAATGCAGAGGGTCTGAGGACCCTCTTTGCACTCAGCCAGTGACAGAATCTCCTTTGAGCACATTCAGACTAATTATGATAGATGCCTCATGTAGAAAAATGGCTCAATTTTCCCATAAAAAGCCACTGAAACAATACAGTTAATGCACTAAAAATGACATCTATGTATTCCCTAATACCTATCCCCCTTTGCGTGAAACACAGATGGGTGAACTAGAAATGCTTTGATGTCTCAATTGCAATTGTCTACATCCCACTTATTAATGTATTATTATTCATGCAATGAAGTGGATATGTGATCATTAAACTTAGATATCTCGATATTGGCAGAAACTACCAAGGTATCTGGGACATAGGTCAGACACAGTAACTCCTGCCAAACCACTAAAAAGGCCAAACAATAACACTAATTCATTGAAACATGTTCTTACTTACTGCTTCCCCACCCAACTTCCGTCAATTAAATAATATCACCTTGGTAACCAACAAGTATTTAGAGACAAAGATTGGTCATAATACTGTGAATCAAGCAAATATTACTTCTATATATCCAGACCAGCTCATTTTAGAAGCATCAAATTCACACAGCCAAATTCAAATGTGTCCTTGACATTTTTTTCCTAAATGTTCAATTCTGTTTTCCAACGAGCTAGAACCTTGTCGTCTTGTTTGATCTCATCTGTCCTTTCTACACCACATCCGTGCCATGACCCGCTCTGCTTCGCCCACCTCTGCCACTGCCTCTCCCCGCTTGTCGGCCAGCCCAACTCTTCCCTCAAAAATCATCCAGAACTCTGCAGCTCACGGTCTCCCGCATCAGAAGATAAGAGTTCAAAATCCTCTTTCTCGCTTTAAAAGCCCTGCCGATGTGACCCACTAACTCCATATCGACCTGTCTGCTCCACAGCTATGGCCTGCTCCATGTCCCCCGCCTGACCAGTCCCACCATCAGCAGTCAGGCCTTCAGCCTCTTTGCCACCACCCTTGAAAATTCCATCCCACAGTCCCTTCACCTCACTCCCTCCCTTGTCTCCTTCAAGGCCCATCTCCAGACCCTCCTCTTTGACCGTGCCTTTGACCAAAAGATCATAAGACCTAGGAGCAGGAGTAGGTCATTTGGCCCTGCTTCGCCATTTAATAAGATCATGGCTGATCTTCTAACCTAATTCCATTTACCCATCCAATCCCCATATCCCTTAATCCCTCTATCCTTTAGAAATCTATCTATTTAGAAATCAGTTTTGAATATGTTCAAGGACTGAGAATTCTCAGCCTTTTGGAGTAGAGAATTCCACCAACTCACTACCCTCTGAGTGAAGAAATGTTTCCTCAACTCAGTTCGAAAAGGCTGACTCTTAATTTTGAGACTGTGCTTTTCTATTTTTACTACCTAGGTGAATAACTTCACACTTCCCCACGTAATACTCCATCTGCCACCTTCTTGCCCGCTCGCCTAGCCTGTCTATTTCCTTTGCGTTCTTTGTGTGTCATCCTCACAGCTTACTCTCCCACCTAACTTTGTTTCATCTGCAAATTTAGATGTTAAGCTCTATTTCCTCATCTAAATCATTGATATAGACTGTAAATAATTGAGGCCCAAGCACTGATCCTTGTGGCACTCCACTAATCATATTCTGCTAATCTGAGAAGGACCTGTTTATCCCTACTCTCTGTTTTCTTCCTGTTAGCCACTCTCCAATCCATGCTAATATATTACCTTCAATTCCATGGGCTCTAATCTTATGCAACAGCCGTTTATGTGGCACCTTGTTGAATGCCTTCTGGAAGTCTAAATACACCACATCTACTGGTTCCCCCCTATCTAACCAGCCAGTTACGTCCTCAAAATTTTTTATAAGATTTGTTAAACATGATTTCCCTTTCGTAAAGCCATGTTGACTCTGCCTAATCATGTTATGGTTTTCTAAGTACCCCACGACGATGTCCCTAATTAAGGACTCTAGAATTTTCCCTACCACCGATGTCAGACTAACTGGTCTATAGTTCTCTATTTTTTGTCTCCCACCCTTCTTAAATATCGGCGTTACGTTTGCAAGCTTCCAATCACTGGGAACCATTCCAGAATCCAAGGAATTTTGGAAGATCAAAAACAAAGCATCCACTACCTCTGCAGCCACCTCTTTTAAAACCCTAGGATGCAGGCCATCAGGTCCAGGGGATTTATCAGTTTTTAATCCTATCAATTTTTCTAGTACTATTGCTTTATTGATGTTCATTTCTTTAAGTTCCTCATTAACATTAGCCTCCAGGTTCCCCTCTATTTTCTGTAAGTTTTCAGTGTCCTTTAAAGTGAAGACAGAAGCAAAATAATTATTTAATGACTCTGCCATTTCTTTATTCCCCGTTATAATTTCTCCTTTCTCTGCATTCAATGGACCCACATTCACTTTTGATAGTCTCTTCCTCTTTATGTACTTGTAAAAATTCTTACAATCTGTCTTTATGCTCCTAGCTAGTTCACCCTCATATTTCATTTTCTCCCTCTTAATCAGTTTCTTGGTTTTCCTTTGCTGGTCTTTAAAGCTCTCCCAATCCTCAGGTTTACTGCTCTTTTTGGCAGTATTATTGGCCTCTTCTTCAATTTGATACATTCCCTAACTTCTCTAGTTAGCCAAGGTTGAACCACTTTTCCCATGGTATTTTTATTTTTCAAGGGAATATGTGATCGCTGGGAATTATGTATTATATCTTTAAACGTTTAGCATCGCTGGTCTACAGTCATATTTTTTAATCTAATTTTCCAATCTATTTTAGCCAAATCTTCTCTCATACCTGCAAAGTTGGCTTTATTTAAATTTAAGACCCTTGCTTCAGATTCAACTATATCACTCTCTAACTTAATGTTAAATTCCATCATGTTATGGTCACTCTGCCCTAGAGGAGCTTTAACTTCCAGATTGCTGATTAGCTCTTCCTACTCCTACCCTCCACCCCTCCTGATCCCAACCCCCAGCTCAGGTCCAAATCCCTGACTGTGCAACGCCTTGGGACGTCCTTGACATGAAAGGCGCTATACAAATTTAATTTGTTGTTGTGCTGTGGGATCTTTAACGAGCTGAACTGGCAGAAAGGACCTTGGTTAAAACCGCAACCAAGATATGGCATCTCCAACACTGCCACGCTCCCCCAAAACTGCATTGGAGTGTCAGCCCAGACTATATGAGATTCAAGTGCTAATGTGGGTCTTGAACCTACAACCTCCTGAATCAACAGATGACAGTGCTACGATCTGTACCAAGCTTATACAATAAATAATAATAGATTATAACGCCATTTGTAGCAAGACAAATAAAAGGAAGCTGGTTTTCTGGGCAAAGTTTCGTCAGTATCCTGATCGGCGTATCTATATTGATTCATAAATACAAGTTCAATGAACAGATCAAGGAATGGTACTAGACAATTCATATTAGATGTATAAATCAGTACTATATGAATGCAAACACTTAAAGAAAAAAAGTCGGAATATCATATTTCCACTTCACTCTTTTCAATGACAACAGTAAACTAACAGCATAGCTTCAGGGGAAGCTTCACTTTACTCATGCCTAGTGACGTTTCCATTACTGTGCCTTTCATATTTTAACCAATCTGGTTTCCCTGCCAACCTGCCCGCTCCCTCCGTTCAGCGGGCTCCAGCCTACTCTATGTCTCCTGCCCGACCCGCCCTACCATCAGTGGCTGGCCTTTCAGCCTCTCTGCCCCCACACTCTGGAACTCCATCCTACAGTCCTTCACCTCGCTTCCTCCCTTGCCTCCTTCAAGGCCGGTCTCAAGACCCTCCTCTTCGATCGTGCCTTCAGTCGCCCTCCCACCCCTCTGCCTTCCCTCACTCCTACCCCATCCCTCCTCCATGCTCAGGTCCTGACCCTTGACTGTCCAGCGCCTTGGGACGTCCTCTCGACGTTAAAGGCGTTCTATAAATGTAATTTTGTTGTTGTTGTTTAAGTTCTAGTCACGTAACAACAACAACTTGGATTTATATAGCGCCCTCCATGCCGGCCGGCGTCTCAGAGCACTTCACAGTAATGGATCCCAGGACCGAGCCAGGGGAAGGGGGAGGAAGGTGACCAAAGGCACGGTCGTAAAGAAAGGTCTTCAGCAGAGACCTGAAAATAGGAAGGGAGGGAGCGAGGCGAAGGGAGTGAGGAAGGGAGTTCCAGAGCCTCGGGGCATCGTGGCTGAAGGCACGGCTGCCAAGGGTGGAGCAGAGGACTTGGAGGAGGCCAGTCCCGGAGGAACAAAGGCAACGGATTATAAATTGGACTATAAATGCAACATCCAAGAACAGTAATGTTTGGATGTCAAGGCTGTACCGTTTGACACAATGTCAGATACCATATAAGAGCTAAACACGAGTGCTAGCAGTCTACCCTTCGAGAAATCACAAAATTATTTCAGAAATCAAACCTGCATCAATATCTATTCCACCTGGAATGTACATCAGTTGTACATCAGTACACTCTGACACCACCTTTCAGTTCTTCACACCATTGTTACACTTGCAAATCAATGAAACACTTCAATAGGGAATAAAAGGATGGAAATACAGGACATCTTTCACCACGTTATATGCTGCTGCAACAATTCAGTAGGAATACCAAAAAATAATCAATCATCTTGCGCGAACCTTAATATATGGAAATAGTGCATAAATCTAGCATCTCCTAAATAAAATTATAGCCACTTTATTAAAACCTTTCTCACTCGGTAGCACCACCTATTGATTTCTGAATGTTCTCTGTTTTGGCGCCATCTAGCAAATCAATACTCCTTGTTAGTTCTACTTGATAACAGTATTAAAGTCAAATCATACTGGAAATAATAATCAGTAAAACATCACAGGAATGAGAACCTGCTCCTACCTGAGCTGCTGTTTTAATTCGTTGAACCTCGGTCTTCGGCTAGGATCATAAGCCCAGCATTTTGTCATAAGGCTGTAGAGTGTTGGAGGGCAGTTTGGAGGCATTGGCAACCGTTCACCATTTTCAATTCTACCAATTACATCATTGTTTTTCACTCCTTGAAACGGTTTCACTCCATACATCAGAATTTCCCACATGCAAACACCTAAAGATAGAAATGTAATAAAATTTCAATAACCACTTGCGTTTCAATAACAGCCATAAAGGCATGTTTTTAAGAAGAGTTCTGAAAGCAGAGGAGGGCGAGTATGAGGCAGAGGAATTTTGGAAGAGTGTTCCAGAGTGGGGCGAAGTGGTTGAAAACTTGCGGGCCAATGGTAGGGTAAAGGGGATGGGGATATACAGCAGACCTTACTTCACAGAGATGCGGGACAGACCTGCTGGATATCAGAGGCAGACTGCAGCAAGGAAGTGCAGGGATTTGAAAGTTAAAATGAAGATCTTGAAATCAATCTGGTCAAGAATAGTAGTCAGTGGCGCCGCACAAGGACAGGAGTCATGGGCTTGGAGAACTCGGTGCAGGAAAAATTATGGGCTGTGAGTGTTCTGGATAGGCTGGAGCTCACAGAGGGTAAAGCTGGATAGACCAGCGAGCAAATCTTTGGAGAAATCAGTGAGTGACAGTAACTTGATTGAAGGTTAGGAGTGGGGTCAGGGTGAAGGTAAGTGATAATGCAGAGGTGGAAGATTGGGAGAGAAGTCATGAAATACTAAGGGTCAAACAAAACACAAAGATTATTCACAGGTTCTGAGTTGGGAGCTATGTTTACCTTTAATCTGTAACACTGCTACCTTTCCAACCTACACTTTTGAATAATACTTTTTTCTAACATGTAATTACATGGGTTCGTTTGTAGCATAATTGGAATGTGGACTCCGTTTTTACTTACTCAAAAAAAGAGCAACAGCTCCAGTGGAGCTTCAAATCATCATCTCTACTTTCTGCCAGTTCCCAGAAAGTGATACCAGTGACCCAATGACCCGGATGTTGGCCAGTTTTAATTCTTGTTCGCCAGGCAATATTTTGAAGCAATGAGCCAGCCGTCTTTTTGGTTGGGATGTTATCAACCCAAGCACCTACTGTGTTATAACGGGGTTCCACAATACCAAGATAGAATTATGCTTGGTTTGCAATTTTTACTTAATGAATTATTTTATTTCCGAAAAAGAGGCTAGTATATTAATAAAGTCTAAATGAACTTACCAAACATCCACACGTCACTAGCTGAGGTAAACCGTCGGAAGTTTATTGACTCAGGAGCCATCCATTTGATGGGTAGTTTCCCTTTTGAGGCTGCCAAGAAATAGGATATAAGTAGCCTTAGCTTCTAAGTCCCATTGTACAAATTTAAAACAGAGCTTTTTAAGATAAGACAGTGCCGTACTGTTCTGGATCCACTGGAAAATTCATACACGAGTAGAAGGTCAACCAGTAAGTGGTAATTGTTCTTGTGAACATTTTCAATAGTTGCTGGGAACAGCACTGACATCAACATTCCCTCTGCATCGGCACACCATGTGCAGGAAGATGGCAAATCAGCACTGGGTGCAAGAAGTGTACTGCACTTCTGTATACTGTGGGTCTATGGTGTTATAGGCAACTCCACAGTATAGAGAACAGAGTTACACTGCAATACCCTTTAAGAGCTGATTAAATTTCAACTGCAATGGGAAAATGAAACCCAAGGCAGCAAACATAAATAGTAAACTAACTTAGCTTCTGAATGGATCATGTTAGACCACTATTGAGTATCCCAAACCTGTTTAAATTACAGAGGACACTATCTGATGCCAGTGGATTTGAGTTAAGCTCTTGTTTCCATCTAAAAAATTCTCACCACTAAAGTAATCAGATAGGAAAAAAGCCTTTGGCACCACTACTCTAATGTTAAGATTTGAAATCACTGATCCTGATAGAACAACATAAAAATGTGCCGAGACTGTCTGCCTTAATCCATCCTAAAAGCTATAAATCCAAACTCCAATGAATGGTTTGTGAGATATTGGTCTCGAACTTCACCCAAACTCAAAAAGCAATTAAATCAGAGAATTCTCTCATTTTAAACTTTCCGCCCAAGTTGTATCCTATAAAAACTAAAGATTACAGCATTTAGCCATGTGTGACTGAAAGAGTTCTTTCACAAGAGATTTTATAACTCTCACATATTATTTATATATTATACATATATATACTATGTGTACCCGTTGCAGCTGAGCTTGCAAACAGTTTCATTTGATCAACCTGCTGTATCCCTGTTCTGTATTAAACCTTAGTCAAGATAGTCTGAACTTTGGACCCACTAATACATATTACAGAATTTCATCATCGAGTCCTGTAGCTTAGTGGTTAGAGCACTCGCTTCGCAAGCGAGAGAACCTAGGTTCGCTTCCCAGGCACGGCGAATCATTGCGCAAGTTTCCTTACTCCACGTGCCTCGGTTTCCCTAGCAGTAAATAGGAACCAGGTTGTTAGTTGATTGGAGGATCGCTTTTACGGGATAATTAAAATAAATTAGAAATAATAATTTGGTCACAACTGTTTGTGGGACACTGTTGTGTCCAGTTGGCTACTGTGTTACGCACACAAAATAATAATAATCCTTGCATTTGATATAGCGTATTATCACATCTTTGAGACGTTTCAAAGCACTTCATAGAATATACTATAAAGTGATTTGACAATACACAGTCAATACACTTTACAGCATATTCTGTGAAGCACTTTGAGACGTCTTGAAGATGTGATACGGCGCTATATCAAATGCAAGGATTATTATTATCATTGAAAAATTAATATCGAAGACCCATATGGGATTCATAATAAATTATACCAAAAACTAGATTCAACTGAAACATTAATTCAGACATGTTTGTATCCTGCCATCCTGATTGAAAGGCCCTAAAAAATCTCCCAAATTTTTACAAGATTTTTAATAAGCACGGAACAACCAGTCAAACAGGATGACATTTCCAAAGAAAAGGTTTACCAACCAATAGTTGCAGGTCTGCGTTTACTCTTAATGCATTTACCTTTGTAATAAGTGCTGTCCTCCATGTATCTTGACAAACCAAAGTCTCCTAACTTTACACAGTCCACAGAGGATACCAATACATTTCTTGCAGCAATATCCCTGTAAGGGAAAAAAAGGAAACAGATTAAAATGTTTATTTTGTTCCATCAAATAGAAGTGTCAAGATCTTGTCAGGTGAATCCATTTCACTTCAAACAATTCAAAGGACCTTGCACACGGTTATTTTTTGCCAGATCCTGATCTTAGAAGGATACCAATAATTTTTTAAAATTAAAATTACTTTTAAAAATTAATGGGAGTCTCTGCAATCTGTTAATTTTAACAAGGCTTGTTCTACAATTCCTCTTAAATCCAGCAGATGGCACTCAATTAGCACTATTGGTTGAAAGCTTGATCTTTTTTTTCATACATCTAACTCATTTCGAGTACAAGGTATTGTGGCACTTGTATTGCCCTTGAGCAGCTGAAGAGTGAGTTCATAGCTTGGGGTGATTCATCAATTAGCTTTTCTGGGAAAGTGGTGGTGGGGAGAGAAAAAGAGAATATGCTCAGAAGCACTTTTTTGCTGAGACAGGGAAGAAGCCAGACTGAGAGTGGTGCTTAGAGAACTTTTCAAATGACACCTGATCGTCCTGACATTTGGTTTCCAATTCAAGCATCATCCAATCATGCCTCACGCAGTCAAACCAGAATTAGATGAGAGTTAGCATTCGAGTAGTTTTACATTTACATTTTCCACTGAAGAACTGGACTGAGGTTTGCAGGTACTCACCTATGTACAAACCTCTTACTCTCCAGGTAAGAGAGCGCTGTGCTGAGCTGATGGGCGTACAGAATTAAGGAGGCCAGGTCTAAGCTGTATTTTCTTACTTGTAAAAATGACCGCAACTAAGTGAAAAGATGTGAATATCAATCCAAAGCCTTTTTTTAAAAAAATACACAGTTGATAATTTTAAAAAAACTCTGAAATATTGTAACCATTTTGACACAAGAAACCTACATTAATAATTTGGTCACCCAACTGGAAGACAACTTTCTGGTATTTCACAGCTCAGCGTTAATACTTAAATGGGGTGGTTACAGTACATTTACACACTTTTGAGTTGAGAAGCGAGGTTACAAACTGATATGCATGGTGAGGGTTGTACATACTTCTGTATAGTTGGCTGCTATTATTTACTAATGGGGGTGGAACATCCCTTGGCAGAGGGTTCAGTCTGGGAGATCAAGAGCACCTGGTTTTCTGTGTCGCATGGCCTCTATAGGTCATCAGACACATGTCCCAAACATTTATTATTGGCTTGTGTCACAGCTGGGTGGGTGCAACTAAATGCAAGAATTGAGCCATTCTGAAAACCAGGATGCATTCCTTCTACATTTTCATAATGGTCCAACCAAAACCACATTCCAAACAAAATAAGAAATGCTGGAAACCTTCAGGAGTCACACCCAAATCTTTAAATGTCTTCATCTTTCAGAGCTGATTCGCCTACTGTGATTTTCCAACATTGTCTGCCTTTATTGCAAAACATTGTTTTAAAACTCTCAATCATTATTAGTTGTGAATTGTTGTATTATTCTAGCCGTGTGCTGTACTGCCTTTATTATAAAGTTTTGCCCAGATGCAGAAATAATAATCCTTGCATTTGATATAGCGCCTTATCAATTCTTCGAGACGTCTCAAAGCGCTTCACAAAATATATTGTATTTTGCTAAAAATAATTTGCTAAGAGGGCTCGTCAAGTGCAGTAAGTTTCCCTCCCACCACTATATAGTTAAAAATGCAACAAAATTTATGTTCAATGTATTTCAGGTAGATCAGTGTATTATTATTATTGTAACACAAGATTCACCCACTAAAAACATTAGAAGTTGCTTGAATTATTTTGCAGAACTATCCTGTCCGCACCTAGAGACAAGTAGCAACCCATGGCAGTATAGATATTAATTATTACATTTGGGAGCAGAGTAATCATAATGTCATATAATTTAAGCATACTAAATGGCATAGAGCCACAAAATAAAATCTGAATCTATCTAAATAATAAATTAATTTGCAAGATTATCAAGATTTGCAATGACTGTAATTTTATTGGTTTACATTTGGTGGCATGAAATAGTATTCTGCTGACCTCGATCCACAGAAACCAAAACAATTTTTTGATTGCTTTCACATTAATACATGCATAAGACATGTATAACAGTACCTCTCCTAATGTACACAGCTCCATTATAATCCAGACCGGATTTTCTGTTATTACACCAATCAGCTTCACTATGTGAGGATGGTCAAACTGCCGCATTGTTACTGTGAAGAAAAGAAACACAGTTTTAGTATTCTTTACCTTAACCTCACAAGAGAGAGGGCAAGAGAGAGTCAAGTCTACAGTTCAATAATAATAATAATCCTTGCATTTGATATAGCGCTTACTGTGAAGATTGAGCATCCAATGGCTGCACAGAAAGATGGCATGGTATAACAATGTGTTAGGTACTTCACATTGGTAACCGGTTTGATAACTTAGTTTCACACGCTGAATGTTTCTGATAAACAGAGACCACGCTTTCTCCTGCAGAAAGCAAAACAGGCTGGCAGGAAAATTACCTAGCAATGCTACTGCATGCCTAAGTAGATATTCAAATTGTGGTCAAATACAGATGTCTGAAGAAAAAGGTCTTTGTGATGCTGCAGAAAAATACTAATGAAACTTAATAGGAAACATTATGAAATAAATAATGCACACCTGGAGCAGTGCTAAATTGAGTTAATATACGTAAACCAGTAGGTGCAGTCCTTTCAATCTCTTCAGCACAAAACATTGCTTTCAGAACTCTGCAGCTCGTGTACTGTTCCGGACCAGGCTACGCGACCACATCACTCCCACCCTCGCTCGCTTCCCATCCCCCAGAGGATCGAATTCAAGATCCTCATCCTCACCTACAAGGCCATTCACGGCCTTGCTCCCTCCTACCTCTCTGACATACTATCCCCCTACTTACCTGCCCGTACCCTCCGTTCCTCCGGCTCCGGTCTGCTCCACGTCCCCCGCCCCAACCGCCCTACCATCGGTGGCCGGGCCTTCAGCCTCTCAGCCCCCAGGCTCTGGAACTCCATCCCCCAGTGCCTTCGCCGCCTCCTCCCTTTCCTCCTTCAAGGCCGGTCTCAAGATCTTTCTCTTCAACCGTGCCTTCAGCTCCCCTCTCGACTCTCTACCCCCTCCTCGCTCCCTCCCATCATTTCCCCCCTGCTCGGGTCCCGACCCAACTGTCCAGCACCTTGGGACGTCTTCCCGACGTGAAAGGCGCTCTATAAATGCAATCTTGTTGTTGTTGTTGTTAATTGAGGAAGAATTTATTTAAGATGGCCAAAACAAAACTGCTTAGGAAATATTTCCTCCTTTGTAAATGTTGTCAGCAACTGAAGCACTAAATCAAAACAAAATCTTGTGATGTGATATCCCACTTACCATACATCTCAGAAACCTGTTGACTTAATATTTGAAAGCTAACATTTACATAACTCAATTTTACCAAAAATGATCAGGAAGTAACAACTGCTACCTTTGTTGTGCTTAAAAATAGGGCAATGATTATCAGCGGAGAGGGAATAAAAAGAGAGATTAAGGCACTTAATAGTAGCAATTAGCCGAACCCCAAGATATAGTGCTGCCTTGAAATAAATTTATATGGAATTGAGCTATGCATGTGATTATTAATTTAAGTCAGATTTTAGACAATTTATAGTTTGCCTGAGCTTGGACTTCACGAAAGACACTAAATCTTATGGTTCTGACTGATAAAGACTTGTGAGTTTTACTGTACCATCATTGGGTGCTTCATTTTGATTTTAACAGAAGTCGCTTCTAATAAACAAAACTGAAAAGCCAATTCAACATAAACTGTGTACTTTAAAACCACATTGGATATTACCCACCATCGAGCTCCCACTCAAATTACCTTCTGTAATTTAAGATAGTGCGGGATCGGCATGTGCACAGCTACCATAAATATAATTATGTTCAATAGTTAACAAAAGAGTCAAAGAACTGAAAAAAGACAAATTTCCATGAGATGAAGGGATCCAACCCCAAATAATTGAATGGAAATTGGTAGATAAAAAAGTGGACCAGCAGAAGGAATTATTTAAGTATGAGCCGGATGGCACACAAGTTAAAAACATTCTGTCAAACCGTAAAGGGCGTGCCACAAATTGACGAAGTGAGAAATTTAATTTAAAAATGGGACTTAAAAAATAAATCTATAATAAAACATGAATTTCACAATACCAAACCAGAGCAGACTAAAAGGTATAGAACTGAAATAGGGTAAAAATTAGGAAGGGAAAAAAGTGGGCTCTAATATGAAAGCTAACAACTGTAAAGGCATTTATAACTAAATTGAAGTAAGAGGATATTCAAAGAGATGGGATCCCTTTTGAATGAAGGAATGGTGGTGATAATTCATTCTTTTAATTGAAGAATGTGAAAATTGGCTGCTGGATTACCAGAGGAGGACGTTGAGTAACTACGAAGGAAAATTATTCAAAGGGTAACGGTATTTAAAATGAAAGCCTTTATAATTTGACCTATTTGACCTCGATCTAAAGCAGTTTTTCATACAAAACTTAAAGCTGATATCCCCACTAAATTAAGTTACAGAAGAGTGAAGAAAAAGAGAGCAACCATTCAAAGATTATAAATGTCCTTTTTCTTTTAACTTCTACGACAGAGTAATGACAATCCTGTGGTTAAAAAGAAGCCAAGAAAAATCACAAAGTTTTATTTCAAAACAGATCAGCCATTACTTTGACTTCTTCGGAAGCAGGTCTGCAGTCTGGCAGGCTAGCTTTTAAACAGTGCATCCACTGTAATCTGCTATTGGCTTAAAATCCCTATCCTTCCTCCTCCTCTAGTCTGTAAGATTAAAATTCAAGTCAAATTCCTTGGGCAACTGCTGTACAAAGGCATTTCCAGACTTCATTCATAATAAACTCATAAAATAGATTTTAATGCAAAAGGACTAAATGGAATTTCTCAGTTTACACATTCTCTCTCTATCCTTGGTCCTCTCCTTGTTACCTACATGCTCCCCCTTGTTGATATGACCCACAGGCACTGGACCCACTTCCATATGTATGTGGACTGCACCCAAGTCCTCGACTCCAAGACCACTGCTGTTCTGACACTTCTATTCCCCCTCCCCTCCCCCCCGCTGTCACAGTTTATTTACATGAGAAAAGCGCAACTGTTTATTTAAACTTACAAGCTTCTTGCAGGAACTTCTCCGTCACACTGTCTGAAGTGCAGTTTTTACATGTCTTTATGGCGACTTGCAATGTAGGATTTTCCTTTATAATCAAAAATAGAATAATTATAAAATTTTACTGAAGTGATACTGATGAACCAAGCATTCCATAACACCATTTATTTTTGGTCAGCTAGGTTTTCATGCAGAGGGCAGTGAGAAGGATGGAACGCGCTTCCTGAAGTGGTGGTTGAATCAGATAGGGTAGATGCATTCGAGAAGCAGCTGGACTTCACATGTGGGAGAGGGGAATAAAAGGGTATGGTAAGGAGTAAGGAATGGGTGAATACTCTTGTGTAGTATAAACACCGGCGTGGACTGGTTGGTCTGAGCAACCTGTTTCTATGCCATGTACATTCTTTATAAATTTTTGTCTGGCACATGTGGAAACCCGTCACCATGCTTAAGAGTATCCAAACCAGATAGAATTCCACATACGAATTCCACGTGCACATGGAAACTTTCCTGATTGTGCATTCTCTCCCTGAAGGGACCTGCCCTGCCAGACAAGGAGAGAGAGAACCAGAGGGCAAGTCTCCCTGGCTACTGTTTAGCTCATCGAGTAACACCTGTAGAAATCTGGGTGAAGGTTATCTGTCACAGTGTCACACAAAGAAAGTAAATGATTAAAGAAATGCAAAAATCAGTTTAAACATTTCATTTACAATGCAAATTTCAGTATGTTCTCATAAAGCACACCAGAACTTCCTTGAAATGAAGTAGCAACATGCTCTAGTTTGTAAATGAGTTCATTACAACTGGTGGTGCACCTCTGAAAACATGCCATACTCAATGAGAGTGAACGCCCTTTAGATAAAGAATGATTTTAAAATTACTTTAAAATGTAATAAAATAAACTTTCCATTTTAAACATTAAACTAGTTCATTCAACTAGTCAAATGTTCCAAAACTAGCCATTTTAAAACCAGACACTGCCTCAATAGCTACTTACCAAATGTGAAACAGTTTTCAGCAATTCTGCTAGAATGGTCAGAAAATTAGTCAAGTGAAATTTCTGTCAGCGTGGCAGCCTGGTGCAACCAATAATGTTCAAAATGCAATGTTCTTTCAACATTCAAATTAAGAATCATAAAGTTATACAGCACAGAAGGAGCCCATCGTGTCTGTGCTGGCTCTTTGAAAAGTGCTATCCAATTCAATCCCACTCCCCATAGCCCTGCAAACTTGTCCTCCCCAAATAATTATCTACTTCTCTCTTAAAAGTTGTGATCGAATCGGCTTCCACCACCCTTTCAGGCAATGCATTCCAGATCCGAACAACTGACCGTGTGAAAATATTTCTCCTCACCTCCCCTCTGTTTCATTTAACAACTATTTTAAATCGGTGTCCTCGGGTTACCAACCCGCCCGCCAGTGAAAGTAAGTTTCTCCTGGTTCACCGTATCGAATCCCCTCATAATTTTGAAAACTTCTATTAAGTCTCCTCTTAACCTTCTCTGCTCCAAGGAGAATAACTCTAGCTTCTCTCGCCTCTCCTGATAACTGAAGTCCCTCATTCCTGGCAAATCTCCTTTGCACCCTCTCCAATGCCTTGACATCCTTCCTAAGGTGTGGGGCCCAGAATTGAACACAGTCTCTAGCTGAGCCTTAACCAGTGTTTTATAAAGGTTCATCATAACTTCCTGACTTTTGTATTCTATGCCCCTATTTATAAAGCTTAGTATCCTGTATGCTTTTTTAACAGCTTTATCTACCTGTCCTGCCACCTTCAAAGATTTACTTATATGAACCCCCAGGTCTCTCTGTTTCTTCACTCCCTTTAAGATTCTTCCATCAGCTTATATCACCTCCCCTCATTCTTCCTCCCAAAATGCATGACTTCACATTTCTCCACATTAAACTTCATCTGCCACGTGTCTGCCCGTTTTACCAGTCTGTCTATGTCCTCTTGCAGTCTGCTACTATCCTCCTCACTGTTTACTACTTTTCCTAGCTTAGTACCATCTGTAAACTTAGAAATTGTTTTCCCTATACCCAAGAAAAGGTTTGGTAACCTCAGGTGTATTACAGAAAGCAGTCACCAGTTCTATGAAAGGCTTGCTTCTTGTACATCCAATTTACACATGCATTATTTATTATTGGTTGCACCATGCTGATGGAAATTCAATTCAACTACTTTCCTGACTGTTTTGGCACAATTGCTGAAAAATATTTTAGATTTAGAAGTTACCCGTTGAAGCTATGCTTCAATGTGGCTAATTTTTAACGTTTGACCAGTTGAATGAATTGCTCACATTTCTTGTTCTCCAAGGCTGACAGGAAAAATAAAACAAATCTATTCCAAAGTTAATAATAAATTCACCTAGGAATGCAAGTCAAATAAGAAAGGGCCATTCAGTTCTTCCAGCTTCTGTTTCAGGAACCAATCATTTACTGAAACAGCAGTTAATACGATTTTCTTTGCCTCAACTGAGCCAGTATTTACTGTATTAGTCTATTCGGTAAATCAAAGACTTCCAAGGCCTTATTTGACTTGAGAGAGTAAACATTTCACAACTTAGCTAAAGTTACTGAATATCAAATGGATATTTAAACACTTGAACAACAGGAATACTTTAGCTTTTTTTAAAAAAACTCATTGGTTTGAATATTCTGTCTTAAAATGGAAATAATTTCCAAAATACCCTCGCACTCAGGAAGTCCAATCTTAAGAGTCAAAGTCATTTAGATGGTATAGATTGAACACAGTGCTAAAAACCATGTTATGCATGAATCATACTTTGGGATATATTGAGTATTGTTGTGCCATTGTAACCACAGCACAATGATATGAGACTTTTAGTCCACTTATCAAGTACTATTCATAGATCTTCCAGTGTTACCCTGAGGCTACCCTTAAAATTGAATTATCAAAATATATAGATATTCAGGTTCTAGGGCAAGGAACATCATCTGGTTAACTTTTCCACTCTAGTGAGCAGCTTACTCAGTCATCCTAAAGCACATCACCTCATCCTTCAGCCAAGAACTGACCAAAGTCTAATTTGAAAGCTAGCCCAAAATTTCAATTGGAAATCAAGGAGGAAGCAAAGTTTCATTGGTAGCAAAGTTATCAATCTCGCTGGTGTGCACCTAGAATGGAGAAATATATAGGAGCATAAACGTACGAGATTCGCAAATGATCATATAAATAGTGAATCGTAAATGTGTTGTGGTCCTTTGAATGGAACTCCAACTCAAACGTTGATCTCGATATCCACGGAGTTTGGGCAAAATTCCAAAGGGTCAGCCTCGACACATTTGCTCTTTACAAATCTTTTTGGAAATTACACTCCGTTATTGAGATTCCAACATGACCACTTGAAAGTGATGGGTTGCTATTGCACATTGACTTTATATTGGATTAATTTGTTCTCCAGTTCAATATAATGTTTGAATTTGTGAATTACTCACAGGACTCGTGTAAATTCCTTGGTGTACATCACCGAACTGTCCCTCTCCAATGCAGCGTCCGAGTTCAATTCTCTCCCTCTGTATCTCATAATCCCTGGCTGCAAAGAGCAAGACGTAACAATCATTAATTCTGCTGAACAAATTAAACTTGTGTTTCCATATTTTTGTGAGAGAAAGGGTTATTATTAACACACTTGTAAATGACACGCGGGTTGGTACAAATATGTTCACTCAACAGGCAGCAAGCAAAATAATCATACACAAAGATGAAGAAACAGAATTCCATTACCTTCATCTATCCCATAGCTCTCTGCATTGCAATCAGGAATGGGGGAAAAATCAGAAATCAGTATACATTATAATTCCTGCAGACAAACTGTGAGCACAATTTATGCTGGAGCACAATTTATGGAGGATGTTGTGCAATGAATGGTTGACAGTAGGCTAAAACTATCAATCTTTCAATGCAAAAGAAATGAAAATATATTGGAAAATACCCATTTTCAATTGAGAGTCATCTTTGAAAAACAGAATATAAAAATAACCGTACGCAGTGAAGTCTTCTTCCCACAAATTCATATTTGCTAAGAGAAAGGCTGTTATGTAGCTTTGTTTGATCATCAGTAAAGTCTAGACTTTTGTAAAAGTTATTTAAACAAGGGAAATAAGAGAATTTTTCCCTGGTCAGAAAAGTAAAGTCTGTCTGCCAATTAGGGCCTTAATTGGTACCTAAGAACACTTAAGGAGGAAGAGGTCTAAGTGATTGAGGTGTATAAAGTAGCATAAGATACAATACAAATGGCAAAAGTGGTGGTACATTAACTGAAAAAACTCTTTTTTGGAACCTCATTAAATGATATAGTAGCTTTTCAATGTCTTTAATCAGATTCCCCTCTGCCAGACTTCTTCTGGGACAGCAAATGAGCGAATAAGCAGTGTTTCTTAATAGCAAGGAATGACAATGCAATCACGAATCAACCTCAACTGCTCTTGGACATTATTTTATGGGTCAAGCACCATGTTGACCGGGGCTAGAGTCAATGAAACAATCCACTGGAATTGAGATTCATCCCATTCAGCTCATGCTAACCTGGAAAAAGCTCATGCTAACCTGAGCTCATGCTAACCTGGAAAAACCACCCGCAACAACAACAAATTACATTTATATAGTGCCTTTCAAGGATATCAGGAGGACGTCCTGCAATAAGCAGATTGGTTTTAGTTGGTCAACCAGCAGGAAGCTTCCCAGTATCTCACGCTGGTAAGATCCGTTGACAGTTCAGTGATTACATCATTAGGACTGTAATATCCTTTCCCTTACATCACTCACCCGCACATAATGCTGTCCGCCAGGTTCACTATTAAATGGCTGTGACTTAAATTCTTAAAAAATAGGTTTAATAATGTATACTGTGCAAAGCAATACCTAGCCAAGATGGAGTTAATGAATGAATCAACAACTGGATCTGGTCAAATCATCTGAACACTCAATTGTGTTACAGCTTTAATCGACTTCCAAGTGTCCATTATTCTGTGCATCACCGACCAATATGCAGATGTATTACTCACTGGAGAACTTCAATCAAAGTCAGTTCTCTGCAGGATCAATACTTCATACTATTTCAATGCTAGTCATGGCCACATGGATACAACTGACTCTCATACATTTAAGGAAATGTGTGTCTAAAGGAAACTACGAAAGAGCAAAGGGAAACAAATTGTGAGGAATCTTTGTTTCCTTTGGCTTTTAAAAAAAAGCATTTTTTAAAAAAAGTATCAGATCCCACTGTGTGAGCAGCAACTTACAACCTTCAAGTAATTCCCAAACTGCAAGCTGTAGAACATACTCTATAAACGGAGAAGCAAACAAAACTCACTAAGATTGCTTATAAACAAGAGACTTCAGCATTTTTCTACAAGAACGGATTGTTTTTTCTGTACAACAGCCTTATAATTACAGTAAAATGTCTGAAACAATTTCTGAACACGTATGTTCCTCACATCGAGATCCAGCCAGCTGATTCTGAACTCCTGCTTAGATGAAACGCAGACTCGTTTTAACTTGGTGCTGTACAATTTGCCAGACACTTAAATATGATCCACATAGAAACCATTACACACGAGTATTGTACTTACTGGAGGGCATGGTGTACGTGTCCTCTTCATCTATGATCTCTGCGTAGTCATCGGTTTCTGCAAGTGAAGAACCACGCATTTTAGCTGAACTTGCTAAAACAAAACACACTTAATTAAACCCGAGACACCCAGCATAAGGAAACCATTAGAAGCTGAACATCCCTCTTTCCTGTTAGACACAGCTTGAGCCCATACTATTTTGGAAACGAAAACTGCTCTTATACTTCAGTCAAACCCTGTTGTAGAAAGTGACGTGTGCCAAAATGATCAGCCCTTTTCTGGAGAAGATGACATCACCCAATTACAACGACGACCTTGTCTCACAGAAAGGAGGAGGAGACAGTAAGGGATCTCTCTCTCTCTCTGGAGCGGAGAGAGATCCAATAAATCTTTAACAAAAAAAGGAAAGTACTGACCTTCATATGAAACACTGAAGGGTAACTGACGAAACTGAACTTTCTAGAAGAGCTCTGTGCCACTAAAAACTAAAATATGCCAAAACCCTTTCTGTTGGCCCCTATGATTTACATAAAATGTCAAGGCCCTAATCTGGGCAAGGTTATTATCGAGCAATCCAGCACAAGAAAAAACAACGGTGGTCTTTGCCCAGAATTAATTTCTAGTGACTTCCCACACATCAAGATTTCTGGCATTGAGCCCTGTAATTACAGCAAAAGTTACACTTCACGTGTTTACTGTGGCTTGATACAATTACATTTTCTTTTCATGTATGATTAAATTATTAATCATTTTCCCATAAGTTTCTCCTCCCTTATAATGCAGCTTTTGAAGGTTTAAGGAACTGTAAGTAAGCTTGTTTTAATCACCACCATTTCCCCCTAATGTTCTCTTTTCATTTTGTTGTGCTGTTCATGTCATATCTTAGTAATCAAGCCCATTTACCTTCCCCCCCCCCCCCCCACCCCACACACTCGCCCACACTTAGCTGACCTTCCCTCCCTCCACATAATATCTGATGGTTCATTACAAATTACCGTAAATGCTAGCATTTGTTAATTCTTAAAACCTGGATCACACAGCAACAAAAACATTAGAAGTTTCAGTATGCCCCTCAATGCTCCTGCAAGAGCAAAGCAGCCACATATAAAGGCATTCTGTTTTAATTTGCAAATACAAATTAGTAAAATATTTTTAAAGGGATGTGAAAATACTTTTTTACTCTACTCAGCATTTTGTTCCAGCTACAATAATAACGGTCCAACACTTTACCAGAGGTAACTTTCCAGCAAATTACAGAATGCAATGTTTAATAAATCGACAGCTCCACTTTAATCTCTGTATTAACATGCAGTTAGAAAAAAAAGGTACAGATCTGGATGTGTATCTGTTTCAAATCTATTCCTTCTAAGTACACCCAAGCATGTACTTCTATGAAATGAGCAACACAGAAATCTGTTAAACGCTTCTTCCCCAAAGATTGCAAGAAATGCAATTAATTTCTTTCAAAAAAAACCTTTTAACTACTGTCTGGGAACATTCTCTCAGTAAGTGGTTATCAGGAATGGGATTCAGCTGGTGTGTTAATTGCAGATTTAGATATAGAGTTTTAAGGTTTACACTAGAATAAAAGCAGCTGGTGGAAAGAGAGAGTCACTGACAGCTGTGAACAAGGTTCGTCAGAAAACCTTTAATTTCTATTTATGCTATTTCGGTCTCCTAGCACTACAATTTTTCCAATGTGAAAACCAATAAGAATAAGTAATGAGAACCAATAAAAACAGCCAACTGTCCTGAATGCTTACATTATCCTGCTGGTAATAATCAAGTCTGTGAACTCATGCCACTATGAAGATTCCACTGGGCTAAGCAGAGTACTGCAATTCAATCTTGGTATCACAAGACTCTCTGCAAACCAAATAGTTTTAACTAACCAAATGTTAGAAGGCTATAAATACCCAAGAAGGCTTTGTTAATAATTTTTTTGAAAAAAAACTATTGGTGGAGGGATTCTTCATGCAAACTTTTGTTTACTTAATAGCAGTTCTCAACTTTGCAGGAGCCTGAATTTCTACAGGAAAACAATTCACTCATTACAGATAATTGGAAACATAGGAGCAGGAGTAGGCCATTGAAACCCTTGAGCCTGTTCTGCCATTCTATTAGATCATGGCTGATCTGTACCTCAATTTCAATTACTTGCCCTTGCCCCATATTCCTTGATACCCTAACAAATATTTGTCCACCTTAAAATTAGAACCAGGCCATTTCAGAGTGAAATCAGGAAGCATTTTTTCACTTAAACGGTGGTAGAAATCTGGAATTCTCTCCCCCAAAAGGCCATGGATGCTGAATCCATCCACACCTTCATGAGTGAGGTTCATAGATTTTTGCTAAGTCAGGGTATTAAAGGATATGGGGAGAAAGTGTGGAATTGAAAGGATTAGTTGAGGTACAGATCCGTCATGATCTAATTGAATGGTGGAACAGGCTCGAAGGGCTGAATGGCCTACTCCTTTGTTCCTATCCAATCGCCCACAAATATATGGTCAATTCACTTATAGTCTATTCTGTGAAGCGCTTTGAGATGTCGAGAAGACATGAAAAGCGCTATATCAAAATGCAAGGATTATTATTATTTATTATTATCCAATCCCTTTACTATTTTAAAAACCTCAATTAGATCACTCCTCAACCTTCTAAACTCAACAAAATACAGACCACGTTTATAATAATCCTTGCATTTGATATAGTACCTTATTAAGTCTTCGAGATGTCTCAAAGCACTTCGCTGTAAAGTGAATTGACTGTGCATTTTGTGAGCGAAATGCGGCAGCCAATTGCGCACATCTGTGTCCCACAAACAGTCATTGAGGGACCAAATTATTAATTATTATTACTTTTTTGGAGGGATTATTTTTTGCAACCTGTCCTCATAATAACCTTTTTAGCCCTAGTATCATTCTGGTGAATCTGCACTGCACCTTCTCCAGAGCCAATATATCTTTCCTGAGGAGCTGTGCCCAAAACTGAATGCAGTCCTCTAGATGGGGTCTGACCAAGGCTTTATACAGTCCAGCACCCTTGAGATAAAGGCCAGCATTCCATTAGCCTTTTTGTTAACCTTTTGTACCTGTGAGCTTGCTTTTAGTGATTTGTATGCTCCCAAACCCCTTTGCTATTGATAATTAAAAATAAGCTTCTTTGAACAATGTGTAAAGATTTTGCTGGGAACATGAAGGGCTATTTTTCTTGAAGATTTTTAGTCTTTTAGACTTTATAGTAAGAGGTCTCAAATCACTGATAACAACAGTAATTCACTATGTGTTTTTCTCCACTGCACTGACATTTGGAAATCAAAACTTATTAGGATATTTCACTGCCTATGATATCCCTTTCCAGTTGAAACAGTGACATTTTTTCACATCGGAGAATACAATGCATTTTAAAAAGGTTTCCTATGGATCCTTAAAATAATTTGAAGTGTCACTAGGAACGGTTGGATATCAATCCATTGCTGCAGAAGCAAAACCTTACAGAAACGTTTGAAAATAAATATTCTAAATGCTCCACAGTAGTCAACAATAAAATGAGTTTATACAGCTTATTCAAATGTTAAATGTGAAACCACATTAGTGACCGATACAATACTGTATCTAGAATACTACCATTACAAGTAACCAGGTTATTTCAAGCCTTATTTGCAGTTGAGGTGACATCATTTTGGATCCTTAAGGAAGAGTATTCGGTTCAAAGAGAAATTCATTTTGTGGATTAAAATGATCATATGCTGCATCAGCGAGCTCCAGCCTGCTTCACGTCAGTCGCCTCGCCCGCCCCACCACTGGCAGGCATTCTGGCCGCACCCACTGGAACTCCATCCCGCATTCCCTCCTCCTCGCTCCCTCCCTTGCCTCCTTCAAGACCCATCTCAAGATCCGCCTCTTTGTTTGTGCCTTCGGTCATCCTCCTTCCCCCCCTGCCCTCCACCCTCCCTGATCCCGACCCCCAACTCGGGTCTGAAATATTGCTTGTCCAGTGCCTTGGGATGTCCTCCCGGCGTGAAAGGCACTATACAAATGTAATTTTGTTGTTGTTGTCACTTTAAAAGGCCTTAGACAATACTTGCTATACCCCAGATGACCAAAATGACTGCAAAGTAACCTCAATATAAGTCATTCTGGTGTAGTGAGAATCATTTTGCTGGAATGTTTCCATATTTATCAAAGCTGGAACAAAATTGAAGGCAATGCAGTCCAACTTGTTTTTGTGAACATCCATATATATGAATATAATCTTTGTGCAGCTTTACATATTTATACAATGCAATTTGTTTTCACAAGCTGGAATTATATTGGTAATTTTTTGGGCTCGTTGAGGCACGAAATCTCAACACTGTAAAAGGGAACGTGCTGCCACTAGGAAAGCAAGTTATTGTTGCCTTACACTTCCAGGCCAGTTTGGTGCAGAGCTATTCTGCACAACAATATGCCTTAATCCTAAACTCAGGAAAGCAATTTGAATACATCACTGAAAATATTAATTTTGCACATCAACCATACAGTCTGAATGGGATTGTAATTTAAGCATTGAATTTAGCAGCAGATCCATGGCCCCTTCCCACAGCACAGAATTCAGTGAGACTGTTGAAATGCTTTCATATAGGACTCTTACAGCCGCCAAACAGACAATTGCACTGGTTTGAACCAAGGTTGCGGAAATAAAGATGGTACCTTGACCCAATGCATCACTTCGTTCTCCCACCAACCCATAATTTATTTCATTTTGTGACAGATTTAAAATCATCCTTACTTAAGAAAATATAAACAAATCAACTTCCAAATTTGTTTTCTTCAGTCACTCAAAATATCAAGGGGTAAAATATACAAAGCTTTCATTTTTGGATGAAAATCTACAATTTTTAAACTTTTTTTTGTGTGCGTTTTCAAAAGCAATGGGCAGCTTTAACGCTAATTACCTGATAATACTTAGACAAGTTGGACTGAACCTTTTCTACAATCAAAAACCAAGTGTTAAAAAAAACCTCTAAAATTGGACATTCATGTTAGCAAGTTCAAATTCTTTTCAATTAGATATTGATTTGAAACACAGCCATTACCGTCCCCACTAATTTCTTCTGTGTATCCCGGAAGCATGCAGAGAAAGGAGAGGCAAAAGAGAAACAAAGGAGAAAAAGTGGATTATTATCACAATGGTAAGATCCAACAGGTATTGACAAATCCTATAGGTATAAAAAGTGTAAGAAAAGAAAGGAAATTATGAATTTAGTTTTCAAAAGTTTGAGGTGGGTACATTTTACCACATTTCACACTCATGATCAAGTACAGTACTCCTATTCAGGTACAATGAAGCTCCCTCTTCTTTGCCCTAAAAGTATACCTTAATTTAAACCGGAGAGAAGCATCATTGAGAATTTTTTCACTTCTTTCATCAAGGGTCCTTTGTACTTTGGTACCCGCTAGGAACTGCGTTGAGGAAACTCAAACCCATTTCAGTTGGAATGCTTACAGTTAAGTCTTTCAACTTAACATGGGTTTAGGTTCACAGAGGCGGAAAGGAAAGTTGGAAGTCTAGTTACCCTAGGCTTCTTACATACAAACCCTGATGGTCACTATTGGCAGAGGCTTCAAAACAGGTTGCCTGCATCTCTTTCCTTAGCCGGGAATTGTATGGTATGGGAAGAATTAAAATGAACAGTGAAAATAAAAGTAAAATGGAAGGCTGAGAAAATTAAATGTTCAATCAACACAGATCTCCAAGAAAATACTAAACAGCATGTAGCATTGATCATACAACCCATTAATTTGTGATAACCAGAAACTATTAAACACTGCTGAATATTCTTGATAGGATTTTTTTTAAAAAAAGGTGAATGTGTGCAATGCACATCAATTGTCACATGTGATTCATTAATGTACAAGAAGAGAGAGCTTAAGTATTAAAAAGGTGCTTCATGTATCCAGGGCTTTGAAAGGAACCATTGTTGACGAAAACACCACATCAAATTCTAAACCAATATTGTTCAAAGAATCTGTAAAAAGATACATTTTCCGACATTTGACCTTCAATTTAAATAAAACAAACAGAATTATTACCCTTCTAAAGGTCTTCACAAACAGCAAATTGCAGAATATAAACATTTGGAAACTTCTTATAGGAAATTAGCAGTGTCACAGTAGAACAAGAACTTGACCAAAAAGAAGAATAAAACGGAGGGACTAATACAAGAGCATTAGTGAACAGGCACTGCAGAAACAATTCAGCCAATCTACAGGCAATCAACTGTATTAAAGGCAACCTGCAAAACATGCAAAATATACATTGCTTCAATGCAACTCAACATATGTGCATCACGTCACCATAACGGTACCATCCTACCATTTACCATGCTTTTTCTAGATTAGCAGGAGCTATTCTGCCCCCCACCCCCATCCCACCCTTTTTATATACTGGATCCCTCTTTAATCCTTGTGAATGACAAGAGTAAATTACTATTTTCAGCTCAAGACAAATACCAGTAAAAATGCAAGTCGTTCTATTAAAACAATGATTAAAAGCATGCCTTTTGTTTCTGACATGTTAGTTTCACCAATCGATACATTTTTTTTATATACATGCATAATCATCAACAACAACAAAAAATTAACCATCAATCAACTTTGACTACATGAATAGTTTAAATGATCAGATGGTGTGCTGAGGTGCTGTGCTAAGGTAATGAAGTACATATAAAGATGCCAGATAACAATCTGCACAAACACCAAAAATGCAAATGGAGTTCAAAGTCTAGCGTGCAATTTGAACCACAAAGAGGTTAGACTGCAGAGTGATATTAAAATCATCAAGGCAATTCTCCATTATATTTTCATAAAATGAAACAGCAGTCCAGTACCCTTGGCTGTGCGATGAGAACAGAAGATGAAAGGTAGTAGAAAGCGCCTGGCTTTCTTAACTCTGGGTTGGCAATTATTCACTCCTTTAGTAATGAGAAAGCATAAAGGAAAGAATAGAAATCAAGAAGGACAAATAGAAGATTCAAGACTTTTGAGAATTGACTAGTGTATAATATCATTAGGGAGCTACTTCAGTAAGCATTTCAAGAAACACAGAAAGCAGCAAAGACAATGAGCTCCTTTCAATTTCAAAGTTTTTTTATCAAAGGTATATATTTTCATCTAGTTGCTTGCGATATTATACTGGCTCTTTATAATGTCAGCATTTGTGTGTGTGTGTGTGGAGGGAGGGGGGAGGGAGAGTTGGGCACGAATTATCATGAAGTGTTTCGGGTTTCCTTACTCCTCTCTCCTATATTCTCATCTTAATATTTTTTCTCCAATATTTTGTATACTTTTAAATATATAGATATCAACTTTCCCTTCATACATTTTTCTATCATGTTTCCTGTTAAACTCACCATATCATTGATCTACACTCCTTGCCTTCAATACAGCTCTGATTTCTGCCTTCATAATCTCCCTATGTATGTTCTCCAATTTCACACACTCTGTGCACATTGTTTCCCTATATTTGACGATCATCTCTCATAATCATATCAAGATATTGGGCTAGCAGAAAAGGCACAGCTCATTAAACGCCACAAACCTGTAAGGGACTCCTGTGGGAGAAAGTTGAATTTCAAAAATTAGCTGAGAGCATTAGATGTGCATTTATCTTTATTGATGGGCACTTTCTTTTCCCCACTGATGAAAACATTTCTGAAAGCATACTTAGGACATCACTTTGTTTCTCTGGGTGCACCAGCACATATTTCAGAGAACCCTGTGAATGATCAACAGTCTGAACTAAACCCAACATTGAGAAGCATTAAACCAATCTTGTGTCTGATTAGATAAAACACTAAATGAAATAATCTCTTGTGGGTTAGTACAGACCAATTCAAGAAGATATCTGAATAGTTTGATTACCTTTATCGATTTTTACTGATATTTGAATGTCAAAGCAAGTTGGATGAAAAAAAAAGGATCTCAAATCAGATCCAGTTAAGGAGAAGGGATTTGATTTGGAGAAAGAGAACACACACCTCCTTATTCAAGTTCTTTTAACATTCAGAGCCATTTTCACATTTTAATCTTTTAGCAAGACATTCACAATGGATTAATAGCAAGAAGTTTTCTTGCAATACTTCTTTCCTTATTATACACTATTCCATCCCTTTTTTGCCACATAAATTACTGAAATATTTAAGAGTTAACAGTTCAGTTTCCCCGAAACAAAGATATTAACACCGTGTACCAGAAGCAACCCAATTCAGGCAGATTTAATTCATTTGTTTTAAAATTTGCACTGACTGTTTTTTCATTCACTCCTTATAACTTAATGTTTTCTTACTTAAATAAAGCAACTGATAGATACACCGTATCCAGTAAGGGAAATAAAGCAGATGATAATAAAGCATGTAATTTTATAATCTAAGGAATTTGGTTTCTATCCAGACAATTAGAAGGGAATAATACATTTTACCGAATTCCCTTAAATACTATAATCTGGAGATACCAAAATATTTCTATCTCTAGTTATACTGAAAATATCAAAGTGTCTTCAACTTTCTTCAACTCCATGTCAACAAGATTGAGGCTCTCCTGCTTGGCTCCTGTCAGCACTTCTCACCTCAGGCATTAATTGCATCAACTGCACCTGCACCAGGCTCCACAAGCCCATCAACCCTCTGTTCGCTTGGCTCCACTGACTCAGATCTACGTGGCACATCATATTCAAGGGAAAACTTTTACAGAGAAAGCAATGGCATGAAATCTATGGATAGTTTAATAAAGATAATCTATCAATGGATTACCCTGCAGATCTAATTCAAGATCCTCTTCCTCACCTTGAAATCCCTCCACAGCTTCGCCCGATCTCTTTGCTACCTCCAGCAACCCTATTGGCCAACCACTTAGCATTTTTAAAATTCTACATGTTGATAAGTTGGTACTGAGTAAAAAGGATTGGCAGAAAAGGTGTCCACCAGGAAGTGGAAAGTTAAGATTCCCTCATTCTGACCAGCTATGGCTCGCTCACTCACCAAAGTGGGGCCAAGTGAGTTACACACAGGATAACAAGGCAGATGTTTTTAAAACTAAATCAAACCTTCTGATCAGCAAAAAGATATCATAACTCAATGCCTTCCTCATGCTCATCATCCATCTCAGTTGCTTCAAAGAACCGAGTCAACGCTAACTAAGATCTGTTATTGACAGCCATAATGGATTGAGTACAATTGGTTTCTTTCTTTCTATCTGATCTCTTTAATAAACTATCAATGGATTTCATGCCATTGCTTTCTCCGTAAAAGTTTTCCCTTGAATGCCATAGAAATGAACTTAAAAAAATGGGCTGAATGGCCTCCTATTGAATTATACATTTCTAGGGCTATGTGGTAGAAAGGAAGAAGTTATTTGGCCCCTTGAGCTTACAGCCACAGTGCAGTTATAAGATCATAAAATAATAGTATCAGTCATCACTGGCACATCTCTCGAGCTTCCTCAGCTTTCTGTGATTCCGCACTGTGACACATAGCTTAGATCATAGTGGGTCAGTTTAATGGCAGAACCGTAATTTATAGTCATCAACAAATCTTTGAAGTCTGAGATCTCAGATGGCCTCAAGGGGTTATCTTACCACAAATACTTGAATGTAGTTTCACTTCTCATTTACAAATGTTTTTAGTTTCATAAAATCTGTTACAAATTGTTGTAACATCTCCTGTAATAAAGGGAATCAATTTACATGATTCATAACTTTTGTTCTGCCACCGTATAGACCTTATAAATAATACTTGTTAGATACTGTGATAGTAAAGAAGATAAACTGACATGACTTCAGAACTATTCAAGTACCAGGAACTGCTCGATACTTAAGTCTTCTACAACTCTTGAGGTTCGTTAGTGATTGTGTGGGCTGAATAGGCAGGATGCAGCTCATCTCAAGGGAGGAAAATGATGGACAGCACATATCCCTATGCATTAATCACAAGCACTCCCGGCTCAACAGTAGCACAAATCCCCACATATTCTTTACATTCACTCATTGCTCAGCTATAACAGTGATCAGTCATGTTGTTATTGCAGATGTAGTACACGAAAGCCAACCTCCAAACTTAAGAGGCCAATGACTGTTGTGAGCAAATGAGATGGTGGAGGAAAACCAGAATGATTTATTGGAACTTAAAGCACTGCACTATCAAGCACTGCTTGAATTAAATCTGAAACAGATTTGGAAGATATTTGCTACCGATAAGCCAATAAATACCAGCACTATTCTCCTTACTTTGTTTTACATAATTGTATTCTGCCATCACCTGAGAGGCTCTAAAGTATGGGTTCAGACAGCTGAGAGTTAATGCTTTCCTGCAGTACTCCAGTGAAAGAAAGCTGAATGCAATAGCTACACAAGAAGTTCTTTCACACACAGAGCTGGGCCTCACCATCATTTTAACACTGAGGTCACAACACACTGCTCATTCTGTGTTTTGCCTCAAACTTCAATAAACTCTTACTTGTGCTCAGTAGCCTGGCATTTAACATTCAACTGTGATCGACCTGAAAGTAGGAAGCAGCCTTCTGACATTCAGAGAGAACACTTTTTATGTTGGTTGTATTCGGCTGTGCTAATGTTGCTTGGGGCTTATTGGCTCTAGCTGTTGTGAAAGCTTCCTCACTGTACATTAATTAATGATCACTGCCACTTGTCACTTAGTTACAAAGATACTCATTCTCCTCCTGGTAAAATTCAAATGCACCATTGTAAAGCCATTGCAATTCAGGGGAGAGGGAGAGAAAATAGTACTTCAAACATACTTTAATATGCAACATTTGACCCTATTACATCCTACAAGTTTTAGTTTTTTTTAAAAAAAGCTACACTAATATGACTCTCCTAAAATAATCAAATGGTTTGAATTAATTTTTGTGCTTTCATGTTGTAGGACAAGTTTAATTACTATCAACTATTTTAAAAGAATGTTGACAACAGTTTGATCTTATTGGCACTCAGTAATCGCACAACCCATGAAAATAAAGATCACTGTAGTTTGTTGCTGCACTACACAACTTGATCCACAGTGTATTTGATATGCAAAACAATGCACAAGACATCATGAGAATTATTTTACTTGTGTGAAAAACCATGTAGATTCCATACAGAAAGACAAGAATTTTTAAAACTGCAACTTGCTTTCCCCCCTTCTTTCCTAATCCTGTTATAAAAATGCAAAAGGTTAACCGTAAGCAATTTGGTAACACACAAGAGGCAACGTTATTTCTTCTTCTGCACAACATGTGAAATGGAAACATTACATTTTAAAGCAGCATACTCGATTCTAGTATGTTACATTGCTTACATTCTGGTTTAAAGAGAAAAAGAAACATGAAAAAACAAAGAAGCCCAACTAATCCTAAAATCCTACCTGAGACTGAGACCGTCCGAGTCCTCAATCCCTGCTTTTCACTGTTTGATACCCTGAAAAATGAATTTGTGAACCGATGAATGTTGTACATTCTGTCTCCTATGAAATTCCTGCTTTCCGCCCAATGAGTACTATAGTGATTGGGAGGGTTGTACCATTCTCTATTCAGGGACATTGCTGTGATTGGGAGCTACTATAGGAAAGCAACAGAGGGTGGAACTAGTAATGGAAAACATCCAGCATGTTGCAATACACAGAGAAATTCAACACAGCTCAACTAAAGCTGAACACATTTTGTGCCAAGAACTGGATATCTGCTCTGCAACAGCAGCACAATTGAAAACAAAACTAAATGAACATAAAACCTCCTCTTCTAAATGCAAGATAAATAATAATCCTTGCATTTGATATAGCGCCTTATCACATTGTTGAGATGTCTCAAAGCGCTTCACAGAATATATCGTAAAGTTGATTGACTGTATTTTGTGGACAAATTAAATTTAAGTTTAATTAAATGTAATTAAATATAATCAATTCCCTTTAAATAAATGTAGCATTTAATAAAATGTAGGTACATAAGCAAAAGAGACTGTGTTGTGTTGTAAATGCATGCCTTTGTTTTCATTTAGAAAAGCAAAAGACAGGTTTCCAGGATATGATTTAAGGCAAAGTGTAATTTGTAAACTTACAAAAGCACAAAAAGCAACAAAAGGGCAACTATTACAACTCAATAATATAATTATTGTATTTGAATAGCGCCTTATCACGTCATTGACATGTCTCAAAACACTTCACAGTGAATTGACTGTATATTTTGTGAGCGAAACATACTATGTTATAATATGCAGCTGCGTTGGGATTAAAAAAAAGCAAATAAATGCTTAAATAGACAATTCTGTCCAGGAACAAGCTTTGCCATTGGGAGACAAAGCTTCTACACCAAAGCATTGGCGTTAGTGGGTATATCAGTGTTCATGGTCCTTTTGCGCAATGGATTCTATTCCTCACCTCCAAAGCTTAGCTCTAAACTGATCTAGATCCCGAATATGAGGTACCTGTGTATTTTAAGATGGAAATGTTACCGAGATGTTACCCAATGTGAAGGGGGGCTATATGAAAGCTGTTATTTTACACAACTGGAAGGATGTTCATTTTTAGAATTCTAACTGTATCTAACGGGGCAATGAGAAGGCCAAACAATGAAACACAACAGAAACTTGCACTCTTCATGTAAGTATCTCGAGTAGCATCTCAACGTGTTTGAAATTATATCCTGTAAAAGTAAAAGCTGTTTGTGGGAGATTGCTGTGTGCAAATTGGCTGCTCGAGTTGCCCCAAAAATACACAGTCACTCCACTTCATGATACATTCTGTGAAGTACATTTGGATGTCCTCCCGACATGAAGAGCACTATGCAAATCAAGGATAATTATTATTATAGTGTATGTGCACATTGCATTGATGTTGATGATCATGGCCTGACGATCATTGGCTATATTTTAAGTGTAGAGAGCTATCTAGTCCATGTCAGAAATGTGCCACATTTCTGTTAAGTGCAGTTAGAGAGAGACTTAATTGGGTTGACCTGTAATTCTCCAATAGTTACTGATACACAATACAGATGCAACTTATAGTTGCTGATGACAGATGCAACTCCCACAGATTATACAGATCACAAAATATGATGGATGGTTGGTATTCACATGTTCAAGGATCAGGCACCCACCTATTTTTAGAACAGATAATTGTCTATCAGCACACATCACCCTCATAATTACTACCCTCATAACTTGACACTAGACACAATCATCTGGCCACAGCCTTTTTTAAAAAACAAAAAAAACAAAAAGCAAACCACTCTTATCTACTTAACTTTTAGCCCACAAAATATATAGCCAATTCATTTTACAGTATATGAAGCACTTTAAGATGTCTCAAAGATGTGATAAGATGCTATATTATATGGATGGATTATTATTATAACTACAAGAAACTTATTGATGAAACTGTACACCATGATACTTGGCAAATTACTGAAAAAGCTAATGTTTACTTACTTGGGTAGAGAAGGTAAGGCTCTCTCTCCCTCTGTGGAGACAAAATAGATTGAAGATCAAAAACAGCTCCGTCCTTCATCAGTTGGATGCAATTTGCTACTTCAAATGGAACTAAAATCTAGGAATGCTTTTAATTCGAAGCTTGTACAGATGAATCTACATTTTACCTGAGCCAGTCTCTGCCTGCACCAGGCTGCTTGTGAGAATTTCATGTGTGTAGGCCATTCTTTTTAGGTTGACCAAACTTTTCAATGGATTATCAGTATTAGTATTTCAGTAATGTCAAATGACAATAGATTTGACTAAAATCATTGCTTACAAACTACGTGCTGACACAGAATTACAACATAATTTAAAATAGGAAATCAATTCAGGATACTAGTCGAGGCACGAGGGGACATGTTACATTCATTCAATTATACAACCTGGCTGCTTATATAAAACACTGCAGCATCACCATAGACTTAGTAACATAGGAACAAAATAACATAGGAACCGGAGCAGACTATTATAAACATCAAACTAATTTCCTCCTTCACACAATTGGACTTTTAAAATCCAAATTTAACATCATCTGACCACTCTTTGCTTATCTGGATATGCCTCTACTGTTGCAAATCTAGGTGGCATCCTGCGTCATGGCCTAGACCTCTTTCACTAACGTTCTCTTAAACAAAAATCTGTTGTGCGGACATTCTCTCTCATTTCTCCTTTCCACAAAGGTCATTATCAAGGCAAGCTTGATACAGTGACGCCAGACTATCTATATCATTGTGATGGATGGAAGAGCCTCTGTACACATCCATGATTATGTGCACCAAGAGAAATCAAACAACATTGATTATGCTGTAAAACATCAGCCTTACTCAGCCCCTCTTCTGCCACTTTTACTTATGAAACTTTTTTTGAAAACAGTTATGAAGGTTGTACTTTTAAGGTTGGTTAGAGATTATAAAAGTGATGTTGCAAGAGGAAAAATGACAAGTTATTTTGTCTGACATACCTCTGGAGTGGGTGACTATTGTTTTTTTTTAAAGTATTGACATGTAACTGTATCAAGAGTGCAATAAAACAAATGACACAAGCAGGGCTGGCTGGGTGAAAGAACTAAATTACAAAGCTCAAGTTACAGAAGTAACTAATAAAGTTATCACGTCTTCAGTTTTTATATTTTTCCCCACTATACCCATATTTAAAAACAGATTATTTTCTTGTATCAATTCATCTCTCCTTGAACACCTATGAATGTTGTAAAGAAATGCTAACATAAGCTGTACCAGGTAAAATCAAATCTAGATTGTATTCCAGATGTGGAATAAACTACTGCAGGGCATTTCAGCACAAAGCCAGGTTTGATACCAGAGATCGATTGGTAGTTTGCAGAGGATTATCAGCATAGTGCCACAAATCCTTCAACGAACACCAAGAAATTTATTTCAGGATCAGTTTAGAGTTTAAAGCTCAATAGTGGAAATGATGGTTTCTGCACATTACCTGCCAGTAATAGAGCAAACTGTTCAGTATCAGTGTTGCTTCTGAAAAGACACATTTCAGATATACAAACAATCCACACAAAGCCCTGTAATAGGCAGGGTACATTTAGGAGTATTCCATGACACAAGTAGAAAGAAAAAGTACTTCAGGAGAGGTGAGAAGATTGATGGATTTGAAGACAATCTTAAACTTGAGGCACTTAAACTTGAACTCCTGAGGCACTGTGGACCAACAGACTATGGCAAGGAGGGAGTTTCTATATTTATAGATATTTACTGCTTTACATAAGGTTGCTTCCCCTTTAAAATTGTGTTTTAAGAAATTAGGGGAAATGCAGTGTATTAGTCAATCACAGCTGATCCTTGTGCAAAGATCAAGCTGTCAATATGAGCTGCCTCAGTTGAATGTCAATATTTTTTCAATCTGTGTGTCTGACCTCTATTGATCTACTTGCAGCACTCGGGTTAGATTGAATTTGACGTCTGCCTTTGCTGCCTTGGAGGAGACTTTTGGAGCACATAGATAAGAGGCCATTCAAAATGTAAACACATACAATAATTCACTCATGTTAGTCTCATTTCAACACTACCATGTATGTTGGACACATTTTCTTCTCTAGTATTTTATGCTGCATCCACTCACAAGTTGGGAGGAAAACAGTGATAATATTCAGTGTTTGTTTACCCTCTCCACAACATTAGCAATGTTATTTTTTTGTGGTCAGCTGGGTGTCTGACACATAAGGAAAACAATCACCACACTTAATAGTTTTCAAAACAGAGTTCCCCAAATGTACACAACCTAACCGATATTTCCCCAGATCTTGAATGAAATGCAATTAGGGTAGGGTTGATAATTGACAGTTCACTGTTTATATGATCTTGAATTTAACACAGCCAAAGTAGATCATTTTGGATGAGCTCCAATGTGTGTAGGAAAGAGCCCTTGCATTACAAAGACAAATTAAGTTGAAATTAAAAAAAACTCAACTCAGTTCTATTGTGCAATACAACAAATGCTCTTCATTTTGTTTCATAAGATTAATTATCTTTGCTTTCTTTTCCTCTCACCTCTGAAACATAGCTGTCATAAGCAGCAATATTTTTAAAATTCTTCAGTAGTTGATGCTTGATCTTCGGTTTATTGCTTAGCTTTCTGTATGTAATTGGTAAATTTCAGCTGCTGACTATATACAATTCTAGTCTCAGAAGAGAACCTCACCCTGCATTTTGGGTGTTGAATTTTACATTGTATTTAGAAAATGAAAGATAAATAGTTTGAAAAACTAGTCACTGGTAAAATGTAAATATTGACTGGAGAATGTAACCTACCTTTTTGAGACCTGATAATGAATGACTGCATAATTCCATTCACAAGACGGCAATAGCCATCTATCAAGTCTGCCATGTTCTCTGCGATGTTCAATGATGGTGTTGTTATTATCAGAGGCTGAAAATGAAACGCAAAATGTTACTGTTGCAGCTTCTCCCAGCTTTCAGTTCTCATTATGGGACTGATCACATGCAGTAAAAGTGGGGTCATTAACACACTGATTGTGAAACAATAACCCAGGACACAGAAATGGTAGAACTACAGCAAACTCCTGATAACTTGACCCTGGCTTAACTTGTCACAACCATTCAAGTCATCATGCCGTCAATCTCTCAACCACATTTATTCATCCTTTTATTGAGGAGTCTAACTGTCATCGAACCCTTTTCCCTTGGAGTGACGAATTATCAGGAGTTAGCTATTGCTTTGGTTTTCACAGTAGAAACAGGCAAATGATACATCATTGGTAAAGTTTATTACAGTGAAGATAAGCTGAGGAAGACCAAAGACATTGAGGGGGATGAAACCTTGAATATATTCATCCAAGAATATTAAACAAAATGTCCATTGAGGTGGGGTAACCATTGGATGCAATCTTCTAGAGCTACCCGAATTCTAGGATCATACGAAGATGATGAATGTTGTATCTTTATTCAAAATACCATTCTGTCCTCTTTTAATTATAGGCCATATTTGACATCAGTGGTGGGAAGTTACTGGAATGCATCATTTGTGATGCAGTGGGTAAGCACCTGGATAGGCAGTGAATGTTGTCTAAATGTAGTTCCACAACACGTTCCACGCTACAGATTAATGGCAAAAATTGGGGCGTATGGTATGAGAGGAACTTTCTTGATGTAACCGGAGATTGAAAGTCAGAGAACCAGTATAAAGGGGATGTTCTTAAACTGGCAGGCTGTGACAAGTGGGTTTCCCAAGGCTGCTGGGTCTGCAATCAGTTAGCATCTACGTCAACGATCTTGTCGTGAGTGTAGAAGGGAATAGAACCATAATTACGGATGACACAAAGCTTATAGATGTGGTGAACTTTGAAGAAGTCCAAAAATCTACAAGTAGTCATCTAATTTAATAGATTAGGTGTGCGTACGACAGTATGACAAATGTGTTTTAATGTAGCCAAATGTAATGTAAATGTACTTTAGCAGCAAAAATAAGGGGTGCAAATACAGGGTACAGATGAATAAAGGAACTTGGCATGCAAGCTGGTTTCACTAAAAACTAGTACACACATACAGAACCAGTTACATGACAATTGAAATGCTTGGGTCATAGTTAGAGGCAAAGGACTTAAAAACAGGGAGGGAGTTTCATGTATGGCGTATTTCTCAAAGTGTCTCAGAGACATCTGTCTATAAAAGTGACCAGATTAAATCTAAATGTACCATATTATTTATGGAACTTGTCTTAGTCTTTCGATAGATCTCAAATAAATGATTTATTTTAAAAAAAGTACACTGGTGTAATAAAGATAATACGCTTTTTTCCCTCCTCAAAAAAGCAAGAAAAAATATATTTTCAAAAATAGGCAGAATAAGCAGATTCCAGAACAAAAAACAGCCCTTGCTATAACGTGTGACAGATTCAGTTTCAGGTCTGGCCCACAAGTTGTATATCTCCGTCACATCCAGTGTGTAGTATATAACTGCTATTAACAATAGATGTCAAATAACACCAGTGAAAGATGGATCCATCTTTAGATACTCTGTACAACTTTGAGGTTGAGTATAAAAAAATAAAAGTCAAAGGTAACCTTCCAGGTTACCATAACTTGAATAAACAAAGTCCAGATTGAGATGTTATGGTAGAGTGGCATTAAACCTTGAAACTGATAACAGTATGATTTAGCTTTGATGGGTTTATAATGATAGCTAACTCATGGAAGGGGAAAAAGCAAACATAAACCCTTGCAAGCATGACAGAGATGCTTTTATCTTAATAAATGCAATTCTGGAATATAATGAAAAAAACATGCATTCATAAAATCTCTTCAATAAAACTATAACCTGCCATTCTGATTGAACAGTACTACAAACTCATAGTCAGATATTGGATTATTAGCAGTGTTCGGCCTGAAGGCACGATCCATAATAATTCCATTTCCAACTAATGACACCCACAGGTTTCATTACTGTGTGACTGAATCAAAGCAATCGAACATCAAGACTTGCAGAAGATGTGTAGAGGGACTGTTCCCACACTATATTTTCTGTTTAATAGATTTATAAAGTATAATCACTGAGGTAATGAGGTGAAGGTCAGTGGTTCTGATGACCTATTCAATTTTGCTTTACAAATCATGTGCATTATTATGGACCCACTGCTAACCTAAAGGACCTTCTCCTGCCCTCAGATTAGAAGTTTTATGACCTCTCCCCAGTAGTGGTCCCCAGGAAGCAATTCACTAACTCTATGATTTAAAGCATCATTTTTCTTAGGCTGCCGGCTTTCAATTCCCATCTTTACAAGTCTCCTCTGGTTTTGTATCTTAGCCTTTTTTTTGAAGGAAGGAAATAACTTTTTTTTAAAAATGAACAAATGCAAGTATTAGCACATTTACTAATATCTACTCAATCGCTCTATGCAGCAGCATGCCAGAGTCCAGAAGCCCAGTGTGTAAGGAAATAAGGATACAAAACGCACATCATGATGCGTTCCATACAGATCAGTTATACTGCATCAGGAAGATTTGTATCCTTATTTCCTTACACAATAGATTTCTGGAGCTTAAATACAGCTGACTCGCATCATTCTGCTATTCCACAAGAGTGGACAATATTCCAAAATGTTGAATGTTGTCTTCCTGAAAGTGTACTTTTGTTTTGTCATCGCACTCTTTCCATAGGAGATGATGTGGTGGAAGTTCAGTGCAAATTGAACTGTTAAAAAGAGCTGACTGATTGGGCCAAATAAGCTTTTATTTCATACTGTGCATATTTATAAATGTATTATGTAGGTCCAGGCTCAGTGAGTAAATAAATCATGTGGTAAAACTATATTCCATGCAGATCAGGAAGGCACACATTAAATTCCTGAATTGTATTTTACTGTTGTTGGTTCATTTTAGCTGAAATGGTAATCTGTTCTCACTAAATGAGATTTGAGATTGGAGCCTTCTTCATCCAAAACAATCTTGTGATCGTGTGAACATATTACTTTGTCATCTCACAACATGATGCATTTTGTTTCTTTCCTGTAGTTAACAGGGGTCAGGCCATAGTTTGCAGTATTTTAGTGCTCTGACTCTCTCCAGATTGAAGTGACCCCCACATACAAATAAATAAAAGAGTAGTATAAATGGTATTCTCCAGGAAGGTCAGTAGAAACTGCCATAAGGTGATCTTACCTCTGATGCTCCTGCTATCTTTAACTGCAACGTGCCTTTCTTGTCTTTATCGTCGCTGTTTGAATACTGAATGGTCTGTACTTGGTTGAAGTTAGCCAGATGGGTAGGCTGTGTAAGACGAAAAGAACATTTTTACAAATGATTTTGATATTTTAGAATTTGATTTTTTTTCCACCATCAGATTAAAAAAAGACAATGAGAGTGACTTAATTTACTCCAAAGAAATTGGCCTTGCATTCTCTGTACGAAGCTCCACTACTGGCTGGGAGGATGGGCAAGTAATCTGATCCTTTTCTGTGGTCAAAGTCTTTTTTTAAAAAAGTTACTTGGAGGTTTTCAAAGGAGATGAAACAGATGGGGCCAATTAAATTTCTCCTGCACCACTATAGCAGAATGCCAATTCAGCACAAGAATCAGATGTGTGAACTCGAATCACAAGACAGAACAGTACAGTAAGTTTCCATGAAGCATTCACAGCATTATCGACAATTCTTTCTCTCTCTCTCAATTAGATGCCATATCTGCAGCTACTCTAGTTTGGGATGTCCTCTCGACGTGAAAGGCATTCTATAAATGTAATTTTGTTGTTGTTGTTTGTGGGATTGAAGTTTTAGCTAAATAATACTTGCATTTGATGTAGCACCTATACAACAACAACTTGCATTTATATAGCACCCTTCACACTGGACAGCACCTCGCAGAGCGCTACACAGTGGCAGGGTCGGGCGCCGAGCAAGTGAGGTGGAGTTGGAGGAAGTGGCCATCGTCTAAAAGTGGAGAGTCTCCAACATTATCCACTTAGAACTTTCACAATATGTCTAAGCATGTCTGTAAAGTATAGCAACTATGTATGTAGAGCACAGCAGCCAATTTGCGCACAACAATGTCCCACAAAAAGTGGTGGGGTTGTTCTGCGTTGTCGGAGGTGCTGTCCTTCAGATGAGACATTAAACCTAGGTCCTGTCGGCCTGTTTAGTCGGGCGTTAAAGATCCCATGGCACAATTCGAAAGGAAAAATAAGGAGTCTCTCCTGGTGTCCAACAATCTTTCAGATAAAATTGGTCGTTCACCTTATAGCTGTTTGTGGGACATAGTTATGCGCAAATCTTGACAATTTTGAAAATAGCAGGTATCTTGCTTAATTATCAACAATAAAGTACATATAAGTTGCAATCGGTCAGGTTTGAATGAGTCGGCTTCTGCCACAAAGTCTAAACCAAAATCTCCACTTCTTCTAATTACTCTCATGCCTTATGTTTGGAGGATTTGGTTATTCAAGGCATGATCTCTGGTTTTAAATATGGAAACGTGTACCAAACAATGGGTTATAATTCTTAGCACTGGGAAAGGGAAGCTTTCTCTCTCGCCTCCTCAAAAAGAACTGGAAACAAATACAAACTCAGTTTGGTTTTGATTGATATAAAGCCAAAGTAATTTAGTTAAAGTTAATGAGTAGCAAACAAATGAAAGACCAAAAGCATGTTAGAATTACATTAATATATGTGTATTCTGAAGCAATTATACGCCTAACCAGAAGGTGGCGCACGAAAATTAACAAAATTAAACATGTTCATGTGGTTATGGTTGAAACTGAACATTTCAACCGCAAATTTGCAGACATATTAAATAACTGAGATGCACATTAATGGTCTGTGAACTTTAGCATCATTATTATGGTATGATCGTTTAAAGAAAAGATTTCATAATTTGAAAGTACTCTTGCTGAGCTCACATCAGACTGTGGGTATTCCACATGAAATATACAACAACAAAATTACATTTGTATAGTGCTTTTCACGTCGTTCGGGACGATGTCCCAAGGTGCTGGACAGTCAGTATTTCGGACCCAAGCTGGGGGTCGGGATTGGGGAGGGTGGGGAGCAGTGGGGAAAGCATGTCGAAGAGGAGGGTCTTGAAATGCATCTTGAAGGAGGCAAGGGAATGGGTGAGGCGGAGGGACTGTGAGATGGGAGATCCAGAGGGTGCGGGCTGAGTGACAGAAGGCCCAATGGTGGGGTGTGCGAAGCGGGGGACGTGAAGCAAGCCGTAGCCCACTGAGCGGAAGGAACAGGCAGGATGGATGGGGGTTAGGAGGTCACAGAGGTAGAGGGGAGCAAGGCCATGGAGGGCTTTGAAGGTGAGGACCAGTATCTTGAACTGTATCCTCAGTGTGATGGGAAGCCAGTGGAGTTGGGCAAGGAAGGGAGTGATAGAGCCACGGAGCATGGTGCGGGAGAGGATACAGACTGCAGAGTTCTGGATGATCTGCAGCCTGTGGAAGGAGGAGTTGGGGAGGCCGACACGCAGGGAGTCTGCATAGTCAAACCTCGATGTAATGAATGCGTGTATGAGGGTTTCGGCGGCCTGCGGTGTGAGACAGTGGTGGAGCCGGGCGATGTTGCGGAGGTGGGGGAAGGCAGAGGGTCATGGCATGGATGTGGGGTAGAAGGGATAGTTGAGAGTTAAACAAGGCATCAAGGTTCCGAACTGGCTTAGTAAAGTGGAGTGTGCAACCATGGATGATGATGTTGTCAGCGCCTGAGGTGTGGAGGCACTGACGGGAGTCAATCAGGAGAGCCTCGGTTGACATTCAACTGAAGAAAGGTCTCATCCAGAACAGCAGTTTGTCCTGGAGTCAAGGTTGGAGGCAGAGATGTACAGTTGGGTGTCATTCGGATACATGTGAAATTTGACCCCATGTCTGCGGATGATGTCACCAACACGAGGCATATAGATATTGAAGAGGAGGGGACCAAGGACAAAGCCCTGAGGAACACCGCATGAGACAGTACGGGGACTGGAGGAGAAACCATTTGTGGAGATGAAGTGCAGGCGGTGTGAGAGGTACGATCTGAACCAGTCAAGGACAGAGCCGTGAAGGTTGAGGTGAGAGGAGAGGTGGTGGATGAGGATAGAGCGGTCAACGATATTGAAGGCAGCAGAGAGGTCAAGGAGGATGAGGAGGCAGAGGGAGCCCTGGTTGCAGATAAACAGAATGTTATTTGTCACTTTGAGCAGGGCTGTTTCTGTGCTGTTGGCGGTACGGAAACTCGATTGGAGGGAGAGGAAGGAGTGAAGCTGGGAAGCAACAACTCGTTCCAGGACCTTAGAAAGGAAAGGGAGGTTGGAGAAACATAATGGAAAGCACGTTGTTTCTCCATTCAGTAACAGTTTCAATTTAGCCCGAGTTGGCAATGCCACTCAGAGAAACCAAACTGTATTACTGGTTCAACTAGTAGCACTTTGGATTAAAGCAAGAAGGTTTGCAGCCCCATACCACATGTTGAGCTCATAATCCAGGTTGACATTCCAGTAGAGAAGTGTTACTTTGTTGGCAATGATATCCTCACAATGAGACATAAAGCCAAGGTCTTCTGGCTCTCAAGGAACTATTTCAAAGAGCATGGAGTTTTTCCTGGAGTTGTGGCCAATAATCTTCCCTCATTCAAATTAACAAACAAAAGATTGGGCATTCAGCACATTAGTTGCTTATTTACCAACAAAATGGCCACACTATGTCTAAGTTTCTGAGCAAGGTGGAAACGCTATGCAAGTGTAAATTATTGTCAATTTGTGTGTATAAAAGAGAGGGGAGAGAGGAAGTGAAATTAAAAAATACACATTAATTATTTGGTAGATTGAATGTTTACGTACCGTGGAACCCTTGTCTGTCAAGTAGCTGATCCCTTCTTCAGGTCCTATTGCTAGTTCCACTGATATTATCCAGCTCGACTGTTGAAGTAAGAGGCAGACATGAGTGACGTGGAATGTAATTTCCTCGGAAAGCAGTTTTAAATTATACATGTTGTAGAATTAGTGTTTTTGAATACCAAAAGAAACTATATTAATGCACACAAAGTAAATATTATATATAATTAATACTCTGGTGCGATGGCTGCAATAAACCCATATTCAACATAGAGACTACCCTTTGACGTAAAATAATTAAAGGTTTTTTTAAAAAAATACTTATTTCACTAGATCACAACTTCAAGGGTTTTGGACCTTTCTGTACTCAGGTTTCTTTCCAACAACAGAGCCCAAAAAATAAATTGGTAACTTTTGCATCTAATGAAACTTCCATGGTTGGTCCACTGAATGTTATTACAGCTTTAAAGTGTGCTTTTATATAAATGGTGTGACTGAAATTATTTTAAATAAATACTCCACCCAGCTGCGTCTCGGAGCTCATTATAAACATGTATTTTGCAGTTTTGATCAAAATAAACCAATCCAAACTCTTCTTGGTTCTTAGTTACTTTATTCACAATTTTGTGCAGCGAAGCTATTCTTTTAATTGAAACAAATTAAAACGTTTTTAAAATAAATGCTTTTCACAATGTTGAATGAAAGCAGCAGCAAGCCTCTCTCCTATAGCATCTGGCAGGAATTACAACTAGCCATATGTCATGACCATGTTCGGAGCAGTTTTTTTTAAAACGCAGAATCACATCTATTGCACGATTTACCATTGATGGCATAAATATGCTGCACCATAAAAAACATACACGTCTATAGCACAGATGAAGGACATTCCGTGCATCCTGAATGAGCTGGCTCTGAAAGAACTTGGTCTATTTATTGCATATTTCAGTCACAGTGGTGAAATCTGGTGTGCCTCTCAGAAACTGTAGTTTGTTCAGCTAGGACCACACTACCCCACAGGCTTGCAAGGTTAACGGGAGCTGAGTGGAAAGAAGCCTTGCCCCCCCAGTGACCAGTCTACCCTCCAAGTCCTGCTGTTGAGCCAGACTGGCTGGTCTGTTACCAGCAGTGTCCCAGAGTACTAGACCTGCCTGGCTCAGGAACCAGACTAGATTCTGATATTCTGTTGCCAAAAATGTCACTTTGCAGCCACTCAGTTCCAATACAGTACTTACCTCCCTCCGCCTCAAGGAAGAAACATAAGCTTTCAGAAAGATGATGGCATTTCTACTACACTTATCATTTTAACATTTGTGGTCGATTATGAGATAATATAAAACTGAAGGATAAACATGAAGAGCCTTTCATTTTAATGTGAAAAAATAAACTCGCCCATGATGGTAATACTCCTTTGGCATTTCTTCACTTCATGAGCGTAGGGAGCTAACATTTACTAATGTGGAGCCACAAAGGGGTAGGTGGGGAGTCAAAAGCTGCTTTACTGAAGGATGGTGGGAATAATTTAGAGAGTCTGTAGGGAGCATTTTAAGAGGATGAAAGCATCACTCCTGATATTTTAATGTGTTTGATCTTTTGTCATGACATATATAACAATGACCTTTTCAAGGTGTGGAAATATCAGACTGACATTGTTTATGTATGTAAACAGAGTGGATAATAGTCAAGATGGGGTACTGACCTTTAGAAATGCAAGAAATTACTTTGATGAAAGATTAGAGAGATAAGAAAAACAACAAATGGCAGACGAGGTGGAGCTAATGATTGAGGACTGTCAGAAAAGCAGTGAGGAATGGAGAGAGAAAACACGCGGGGGGAGGGGGGGGAAGGAGGGAGCTGTTGGTAGCTGTCTGTGTGTGTGTGTCCCTCTCTTTTATGTGTTTGTGAGCATCTATGTGAGTATGTCTCTCTCCTCTGTATGTTTGTGAGTGTGTCTGCGTGTGTCTCTTCTATACGTGTGTGCTTCGGAGTTTCTGTGTCTATGAGTGTCTCTCTCTCTCTGTGTGTGTGTGTCTCTCTCTCTCTCTCTCTGGGTCTCTAGGCGGTGCCGGCCCTGACAGGTAAGAGGTGGTGAGCTCCTGTAGCCTTGCTGGTTGGTGTCGCTCCCCCTCTCACACCCAAAAAAAATGGGCTGCCCAATTTAGTTTTTATCAATATAGTGAAAAAAATGTAGGTTGGCAGTAAAATGTACCTCAATAGCACCAGTCACCCCGCCTGCAAATTTCAAATCGCCCCGCAATTTTAAAGCAAATATTTCTGCACTTTTCTATTGGCCCAGGGCATGAGGCAGCTGAGTGGATGGCTTTGATTTTAAACACAGAGAAATCCTCCTCGTCTGTTAAATCAGAATTAAGGTTGGAAGGGGCATTCGAGATAGATCAGCGAAGGTGAGAAAAGACTCAGTTAAAATTAACTTGAATATTTAAAGAATAAAACAGATACATTTCCGTTCTGTGCTCACTTTCTACAGCCCTCTTCCAATCAACATCTTGTCTTTTCTCAGATCCCCGTTCACCGACTACTGGCTTATCAAAAAATAATTAACCTTGGGAGACCTTGGTTCTCCCAAAATAGCCCTAAATCTGACTGTATGTTCTCTTTACTTCTCGTAGGAGTTCCTGATGCATAGTTTTGCATTTCCAAAATCAATTCATACTTTGTAACAGCATCCAATTCAAATTAATCTCATTCTGTAAAGTGCTTACAGGCATTTTAAATGAAAGCCTCTATATAAACGTAAATTGTTAACAAATAGAAATCATCTTTATTTTTCAAGTTGCCATATCTAAAAGTGTGTGTGTGCGGGGGTGGGGAAAAAGACAAAAAATAGAGTGCTAAAATTGGTGTACCAGACTGAGCGCCAATATATTTTAGATAATTGACACAGATGTCAGTCATGAATAGATGATAAACCTGAACCCTGACCAGCCAAGGCTGCCATACTGGGAGAGACCTGTATTAGTTTCTGACAAGTGGGCAGCTGAAATGTTTCGTCCACTTACTAGTTGTGACTGAGTGATTTTAACACAATAACTTAAGAAAATAAATGATTCAGTACAGACGTTTCAGCCGCAATAGAAAGTGATCTCAAAAGGAAAGCCATTATGTGTGACAGATGCCGCATGCTTATTACACCCCGTCTGTGTTTTTGACACGACCTGCCACGAAATCTCACACCCACGATTTGCTCAATCATGACATCTACACTCAAATCAGGTTTAGAGCAGTCCTCCATTTCCAAGCAGCATAATCAATCACCCTTTTTTCTTTCTTGGGTGAAAGGAGAGCATTTTTCACTTCAAAACATTAAAAAGAAACACTGTGGAAGAAAAACGTAACTCTCATTATATAAATATACACAATGAAACTGCTTTTCAGAGCAAAACGAGCATTGACCACTATTTTATTTTACGTTCTTAAAATGATTCAACACAACTAGCACGAGATCAAAGGACACAGAAGAAATGTTCAAAGAAAAACTGCAAGCAGATTATCATTATTTTTGATACGTCAACCTGAAACCTTACCCCAAGGGCACATTTGAAGCACTCTTTGTCGAATCGGTAAACTGGAGAAAGAATCTCAAAGAACTTCAGAATACTTTGCTCTTCATTCAAATTGGCAAACTGACGAAACGTCTGCTGTATCAACTTCCTTAGTGTTTTGGCCTAAAACAGAAATGAGAGATTGTCAGATTTTTATTTGGGGAAATAAAGAACAGCTCGTTTTCCATCTCTTCCCCACAAACCTCCAACTCGAAAATGTGGCAGGTCACAGAATTGTTTTTCCTTTTTCAAAAAGTTAATGTGTAAAGGAGTGCATCTGCCGATTGTTGAAATGGTAGAAGGCAGTGAACAGTGCCAGTACCTGTCTTGCAGAAGGCATTAGAATTTTCATGTAATGCATCAGATTGGAACCAATGGATCACTACTTTTGATCAACACATGCATTGGTATTGAACGAGAAAAACAAATCCCCATCTTTGCAGAGATCAGCACTTGCAAGCTTGAAACAAGCCGACATTCGAGACCATATTCAATGGAACAATGCATTTCACACTGAAAGTAAACAAATCAATGTTTTAAGACCGCTGTTCACCTAAAACACAGCATTTTAAGAATGGTGAACATCTTCTCAGAAGCTTCAGGCCTGTGTTTCAAGGTAAGAGAATTGTCAAGTTCAAAATGAGTGACAACATGCACACAGCTTGAGAGCAAACCTTACAATCTATACAAAATCTTTCCTTTGCTCAATTGATAGAAGGGCATTTTTAAACTTTTCCTCAGCTCAGTAGCTGAGCTACTGTTGTGCTATAAAGAGATAGTGGAACACTAAGAGAAGTTCAAAACTGCACTCCAGAAAAAAAAATGGAATGAAATCTATTCTTAAATAGTAGAAATAAAAACATCAAAATCCAGTCTATGCAACTATGGGCAAAGACGCAACATGGAGCATTGTTACTCATATGATATTCTATCACAGGATATCCTTTACCAACTGAGCCATCAGGGACAGGGGTAGGGAGTTATCTCATTTAAACCATCAGTCATTACAAAAACAAGGCTCATTATGCAAAGGATATCCTGTGATTGAATATAGCACCAGCTGGAACCTTCATATACTTTACTGTAAATTATCTAAAGTAAAGAATATTTGAAGTTTTAATTTTAATTTTCCCAAATCTACTACAGTTCAACAAGAAAGTCCGATCCATAATCTATGCATGTTTAGCTGGTTTCAGTAAAGAAACTTCAACTGATATCAGCAGAACTGGGTTCGGGAAGGAGAAACTGACCATAATACCCACCCACCGCTATCCACTGTTCCTGCTAAAAAGTGCATGTGCAAATCAAATAGAAGCCCCTAGACATGGTATGAACGTGCTCAGCATGCGGTCCAGTGTGTGTAGCTTTATCAGTTCTTTTGCTTCAGGAAGTTCTATGCTTTGTCCTAAGGCGGACCTTGGTTTAATAATTTTGGGGCAGGCTTTACAGGTTCTTTGTTTATATTCCTTCCTTTTCCTTACCTTCTGAGTTTAATCTGTCTACTAACAGATTAGTGGACCTGACCTCCTGCACTGTATATTCCTTGGTTGGAGCACCTTACAGCCCTCAGAATCTTCGGCATCTTCTTTGCAACAGTTAAATTGGTTAATTATTCTGAACTACAAGGGTGATGTCTTGGGATTCCTCCCAGTCTCACCGAATGGGCCTTCCACCGATGTTGAATAACTGTCTCCATAAGAATAAGAATACTTTCAGAAGGCCTGCTCTGCCATTTTATTAGCCGATGGCAGTCCCTTTATCTTTAAACCCATTTCCCTGCCTTTTCTTTATAACCCTTACTTGTGAAGTGCCCATCTAACTCCCTCTTAAACCCACAATCAATTCAGCATTTACAGCCTTCTAGGAGTCTGCATTTCACATTTCCATCAATCATGAACTTTTATTTATATAAATATTCGTTTGTTCAGTTATGTTTCTAATATTCTCACCATTGGCCAACCCTTTGGCAGTTCCACTGATTGCCCTTACACCCAAGCACCACCAGCAGAGGGTACCAAAGAGGGATTGCACTATGAAAGCAGCTGTTTTACTCCTCTGAACTTTGAGAAGGCTGGAGCAATTTTAGCCTTTCTATGAAGGCCCGGCTAGACCAACAAACTGATCAGGTTTCAAATCAATGAATTCCTCGTCCATAAACTGAAGCTCAATCTGCTCTACCAGAGGCTACCTCAACTTTGAACTGCTTAAACTAATTACGAGATTATATTTTACTTCATCTAGATTTTTAAAAAAATTAATCAGCTTTGTGTTTTATACACTGAAGGTAGCCTTTTAATTATCCAAAGTGCTTTATTTTCAAAACATTCTATAAAAAACATTGCACTTTCTGAAACTCGATTTACTCTCTCAAGCACCAGTTGCACTAAAATGAATGTAAATGGATCCAAGTGCATCTGTCTAGACTTTTGGCAACTATCCACAATATTATTCAAAAGTGTTAAAGCATGCTTTTTGGGAGGAGGGGGTAGGAGGAGGAGTGAGCGAGAGAGATAAGAAATCTACCTTGTGAGAATTTCAAAAGGCTACAAAACTTCAATGCATAGTAATAATTAAGGGTGAAAATCTTAATCACTATCCAGAATGGATAAGAGGAAAACACCTGATCATCTTTTCAAGCTGCAACTCTGCACTTCTCAGGCGACAGAACATATGTTCACTGCAAATATAGAACATATGTTCACTAAATATACGTTTTCCAGTGTATTCCCAGAGGTCAAAGTCCCTCATTTAATATCCTGTTTGAAAACTGATGAAACTCATTGTGGCAGACACGGGCAAAGTATAAATGTAAGCCATACATCTGACACCATTTCTCTTGTGCAACTTTATGTAACTTCGTATTTAATCAGCTCTGTGGGATGGAGTTTTTGGAGATTAGCTGCCACATTTGCCTACATAACATTCTATATTAAATACAAGCTTATTAATTGACAGTATTTATTTCATGATCTTCATCCTTTTTGATCAATCCCTTAATTTAGGTCCCACCTGTCTGATACAGGTGGACTTTAAGATAAACTTCTCCCAATTGATTTCAAGAAAGTTTTTTTTAAACTCAGTTACCCTGTCTTGTATTTCCTCCTCATTCAAATTCACCCCCAAATATTCTAACTATTTGGCTAAATATCTCATTATCATTTGTGGAAAGGTGCAGGGCACAAAATTAGCTGTTACAATCGCTTACAGGACATCCACTTCATTTTGGATTAATCTTGTTCTGTAATGCGATGTCTTAGCGAACTAAGTTGTCTAAATGTATGTTACTGTTGATCGGCTAAGACAAGCAAGAATTACTTTGTTGTATTCCGTAAGTGTCTTGTCAAAAAATGTTTTAAAAAGTTTTTTTTCCTGAATAACTTTGGTCCTCAAAAGGTGAACCATTTGATAGAAGTCTCAGAAAAATCATTAGATTTTGCAGTTCCATTTAGTTGTGGATAATAATAATAATAATCCTTGCATTTGATATAGCGCTTTTCACGTCGGGTGGACGTCCCAAAGCGCTTCACAGAACACACTGTAAAGTGAATTGACTGTATATTTGTGGGCGAACGCGGCAGCCAATTGCGCACAGCAATGTCCCACAAACAGTCGTAGATTGAAAATGACCAATTTTATTATTGTTTTTGGAGGGATTATTATTAGGCTCTGTGTGGAGTAAGGAAACTTGCCCAAGGTTTCGCTCTCTGCCTGGAATTGAACTCAGGTCTCTCGCTTGCAAAGCGAGTGCTCTAACCACTGAGCTACTGAGCTACAGGATGTAGTTATAACCGATTGACAAGAGCAGCAATAATTTCATTTTTCTTCAATGAATGTCTTTTCTGAAGAAAATAATTATTGTAAAAAACAATTTTGACTGTTACAATCACAAATACTGCACCTACAAACCACACTGTACATGTATGTTTCTGAATTCATTGTAGTATTGACATGAAACAATCCTTTTATGTTTATCTGCAAAGTACTTGATTGTTCAAAACAGAATAGTATTATAACTTAGCTTGTGCCCTACCACTTATCTTACTCTTATGACATTGGGATTATCCGGCTGAATTTTAGTTTGCACAATGCTTGAGATTTACATGAAAATGTGGGGGAGAAGGGAAAGTCTGATTTAAAATCCTAAAATGAATTATTACGGATTGGGGAAAAAAAATCCAATGCTGGGCTCACAAAGAACATTTATTCTTCATTGTTATCTGAAACTATTCAAATGATTCAAAAGGTTCACAGCAAGGATGGAGCAAATCTAATATATATTCTGAACATCATCTGTTATACCCTCCTGATTATACAATCATAATGAAACTCTGTTAGCTATCAATACTTTGCAGGTGAGTGAAAATTTGCCTACAACTTGCCTGCCTATTTCCATTCCATTTGTACTTACCTCATTGCACTAAAATTATTTCAATTCAAATGATTTTAGTCTTTCATGACATGATCTTGGCTGAAAATTGGCCATTACAATAAACCTGCAATAAACCCTGTAATTAGACTTTATTCACATACATCTAGGAGCTAAACAAGCATTCTTTTCAAATAAAAAAACACATTACTCTTACCATTCATTTTAAGTCTTTGCAGCAGTTCTCAAATTTGATACTGAAATATAATATGCACACAGCTGACCTCCATTCTTTATCCCAAGTTGTTGCAAATCAGTGCTATAACTCAGGGCAAGCAGGTCAACAGACCAGACATGGGAATTCAACAATAACCATCCTATAATTTATTGCAAATTGTGACAATTATGTAACTATTAAAAATGATTACCAAATAACACTGCACATAAAGTAAATCCAAAATTGGGGGTTATTTTTAATATCATTTCATTGTGTGACACATTTCCATGTCATTTGTATTATTTTGTCCAAGCAGAACCACAGTAACTTAAAAGATTGTTAATTAACCAGCCTCATCAATGAGAAATGGAGACACTTCCTCAACCATGCAACCCACAGCCTAACCAGTAGCATGGTCCTAACTGGAAAGGTATGGTAAAACTTACCGGTGCTTCACAATCTCAGGAAGCATACTGATCATACATACATTGTCAAGAAAAACTTCAAACTAATACACATTTAAATCTGGAAACTTTTCTCATTGTATCATCTGCTGAGTGCTATGAAAAACACAAATCAATCAAATTGTATTGAAAACCTATCAGGGGCAAAAATAAATCTGTCTGTGGCTTACTTTCACAGCTTGTTTCAGAAGAGTCAATAACTCAGCATGCCATTCCGATTTGCTGCGCTTTAATTTTATGCCCCCAAACTTCCATTACAGTTGATAATGAATGTGTCGTTAAACACCTGTCACCAAGTAAACAGACAATCCACAATCTGCAAAGCTGTGATTAAAGGTATTCTAAACCTATTCTTGCCCAAGGTGATGTGTGAAGACAGACCCTATAATTTATAGTACATCAAGTATTCACATTTAAAAATGGGATCGGCAACTTGCACAGCATCTTTCATTTAAAAGAACATCTTAAACCATTTGATAGATAGTAGTAAGCAGAACCAAGCAGGGAAATTTGAAGGTGTTGACCAAAGGCAGGGTTAAATGGATGCGTTCTAAAGGGTTTAAAACAGGGGAAGAAAGTAAGCAGGACAGTCATTTTAGAAGAATACAGAAGCTTGGTGACAAAATGCCTGGCTGCTGAAAGGGGAACGAAAAGGACTGTGGTGTGAACAATATAGGAGAATCAGAGTGCATGGTACAAATGGAATAGGCTGGCAGAGAATACGCTGGAGGATATTATATAAGAAGAGAACAAGACTGCGGAGAAATTTGAAAACGAGGGCAAGGATCTTAATAAGTTGATTTGCTAAGATCCTGGTAGCTGATAAAGCTTGGCAAAGATGGGCGTAATGAGTGTGTCGAACTTAATGCAAGAGAAAACTCAGTGCAAGCTGTTGACCAGTTTATCCTTCTCCACTGCCCTCCCTCTCAGCTCCACCTTACTGGTTCTGTCCTTTACTGGTTTCATTCTTACCTATCCCGACATCTCCACTTTGTACGTGTCAAAGGCTTCTCCTCCCGCCCCTGAAAATTCAATTGCAACATTCCTCAGGGCTCTATTCTCAGTCCTCTCCTCTTTAATATCTACATGCTCCTGCTTGGCGATATTATCTACAGGCATGAGCTTAACTTCCTCATGTATGCAGATGGGTTATCCTCCCGCAGTGAAGGGTACTATGTAAATGCATTGGGGTTTCTGGAGACTGGAGCTAAAGAGTGAACAGAGCATTAGAAAGGTCTAACCTCATAGTGACTGTTGAGTATGTTGCATTTCACTCATCTATCATAATCATTCATTGTGAGTGAAAGTTAAGATGTACTTTATTCATTTACATCCTTTTTTGCTGATCGATCCATTAGGTACTGCTACTGTAGATCAGTTTCTATGACAAATTTATCTGCAAATTCATTACAACAGCAAGGGATTAAACTATTTCCATACCATCTGTAATCAATACCTTTGAAAAACAATTTTTAGTTTACTTGTTTGGTTTAAACGTCCCACAGTTTCTTGTGTGTACTCAATTGTTCACTCGCATGGTTCCTCTCAGCTTTCCTCATCTTTTGAAGTTTCAATCTCCACTTAGAACAACAATGTTCAAATGCAAATCAGGCAGCCTAAGTAAGCTGAAGTCAAAATAAAACATCCCTCATTATTTAAGTGATGTGAATTGAAACCTATTTTATTCACTTACATATTTAATTACATATCTAAAACTACATGTCTATCTAATGTTTGGTTCTTTTTCTTGGGAGAGTTGCATTTTCAACCAATATTTGCAGAATGACTAAATAATGAATCTTATAGATAAATAAACCAGAATAAAGTTTTAGGAGCTCTGTACATGACAGTGTTTGGAACTCTGTTCATGATAAATTTGGAAAAAGAGCACAATTGAACAACAAGACTGGATATAAAGAGAGCAGAAACTTCTTTAATTGTTAGATATCTTTACATACTTTGTAAGTTTATGTTCAAACTTTTTAAAATTATAATAATAATCCTTGCATTTGACATAGTGGCTTATCATGTCTTCGAGATTTGTCAAAGTGCTTCACACAATATACTGTAAAGTGAATTGACTGTATATTTTGTGGGAGAAACACGACAGCCAATTGCGCACTGCCGTGTCCCACAAACAGATGTGGATTGAGTGAACAAATTATTATTATTTTTAAAAAATGTATTTTTTTAATTTAAGCAACTATTAGTTTTGTAACCACATATTTTCCATTCAGCTTTTTTTTAAAAAAAACAAATCACTTATTTCCCTATTCAGAATGTCAGGGGCTGGTGGCTTGTGCCCAGAATCCTTTCACTGCTGAACTCAGCCGTGTTAATAATAACTTGCGATTGTTATAGTGCCTATATCATCGATAATATCTCAGAGTTTCACAATATTTCTGTATCAACATTGTACATGGCAGCCACGTCACATACAGCAAGTTCCCACAGACAAACAGAAAGTGAATGACCAATTGTCCTGGAGGATTGGTGGTTAGCGCCTTGGGACGTCCTCCTGACGTGAAAGGCGCTTTATAAATGGAATCTTGTTGTTGTTAGGTCACCAGGGCAAACTTCCTCCTCTTTTCAAACAGTACTGTGGGATCTTTAACATCCACCAAGCAGCCTAGACCATAATTGATTTAACGTGTCAGCCTGGATGATCAATTCAAGATGCTAACATGTGGCTTCAACCCACAACCAGAGATGAGAGTGCAACCCACTGAGACAAACTGACACATAGCATTCAGGGAAATAGGCAAAAACTGGTAAATCAGCACATGATGCACATGCACATCTCTTTTCACTATTGTTGGACAAAGGAGACAGAACAGAATGTAGTTTAGTTCTCAAATAAATCTTAAGTGAATTAAATATATAGAAGACTTGTAATTAAATGACCTTGAAATATACTTAGTATACGATTAGCCTTGTTGAGAACATCTGCGCGAACAATTAGTAATCACGTCTAAATCCTTTTCTTTGTTTAAGGATACCCTTTCATTATGTACGTTTCACAATTCTTTTTGCAATGCTCATTAGGACCGACATTTATTCACATTCACATCATTAGACAATTTGCTTAATTGGTCCAGATTCCCTTGATTTGCTAATACTTATCACCTGGTCATAAAGTTTAATATTACCAGAAAGCTGTGTAATAACCCAAACATCCTCCTCCTCTATATATATTAAAGATATGGTAGCCATATCCTCAGACAGAGCTTTATCTAATATTTTTGTTTTCATTCTGAAATCTTATCAACTTTCATAAGAAAATGAAACATGAATGTGACCAAGAATGGATCTTGCAACACAGCTGTAATCCAAACTTTCTTACCTTTACTGAATCCAACAGGCTCTTGGGGAAGAACCTCCTCAAACCCACATCCTTCCTATTTAAACAAAAATTAAAATGTATAAATGCACAATATCTCATTTAGTTAAAAAGTGTAATCCATTCTCATCAACAAATTGTATCAAATAAGTATCAAACAATCATCCCATTACCTGCCAGTTGAAATAATCTCCCATCTGTACAACCCACTTTGCTGGTGGTGTGAGACTGCTGTTGTAAACCCATTTCAATTTTACACAATTATTTTGAATGCAAATGTTGCCTTTACTCATTGAAGAAACCTAACGGCACTAAGTTAGCAATGAAGGATTAATACAGAACAACATTTCCAGGACAGGAGAAAGCCATTTGGGTTCGGTCCATTGTATCTGTCATTGCTACATGATTTTTTAAAAAAAGTCACACTATTAATTTATAAATTCCACTTTTCAGCTGTTTTCCCATGTTCCCTAATTATTTTGCTCAGGAAACACCAACCTGCTTCAGTAAAGTACCGAAGTTTCTCCAAATTATCCAATCCCCCTCCACCTCTATAACCTGCCGCAAAACCCAACTCTTCGACCAAGTTTTCGGCCTCCTTTCCCCCATCCCTCCTCAGCTCCTCCCTTCCGGTTCAAGCCCCCAATTGGGTGAAGAACTTTGGATGTCCTGCCAACATGAATGGCACTGTATAAATGTAAATTGTTGTTCTCGGGTTACTTGTGCTCTGATCACTAATAAAGTCAATTCACTTTACAATATACTCTGTGTAGTGCTTTGAGAATTCTGAACGATATAAGGCTCTATATCAAATGCAAGGATTATTATTATTTGATGATCACTAAAAACTGTCAACTCTCTCTGTTCTGTTTCTTTTGAAAACCCTGAGGAAAGTGGGACTCGTATGCACAAGGTATGATTAAATGGCCTGCTGCTCACCAAATGTTAGAACATATGCACTTTCAATGGCCATGGGGACAGATCCACTTAAAATGGAAGAAAGCTTTGACATCTGACATCTGAGGAACACTGAGTCAGACTAATGCTGAACATTTTATCCACAGGCTGCAAAGACACATTTCAGAACCATCTGGTGATACATTGTGAAAGACTTAAAAAAACTGTGACAACTGGCAACGTTCCAGATACAATTGATATGAATTATAGAAAATTGATCCATGGTTGGTGAAGCCAGCAACAGAACTCCACACTTTAAATGCTGAATATTCATATTGTGTTAATAACTAAGTGTACAAACACAATATAAGGAAAACTAAGTTGGAAAGCAGTTGTATGTCAGCGCATATCCTTTGAAATCTCGCTTCTGGACATTTGGGCAGAGATTCCTAACTTTTTGTCATTGTCTGATTGCAGCACAGGCTGCCTGTACATATTGATGCTTCGCTACAACAATTTTCTATTCTTAGTAACGCTGGCAATTTACAATACTACAGTAATTTTTATGCTCTTCATACAGAACTTGTGAAGCAGTAGTCTGGTGAATCTGAAAGCAATTGAACTGGGAGCAAAAACTTGAACCAAGATAATAAGAGTTTAAATTTTGCTTTTAAAAATCTTTCACTGTGTACTGCACAATTGCCATAATCAACAATTCAATATCTGCAAAAATAATAATCCTTGAATTGGATATCGTGCCTTTTATTGTGGAGTCCTGTAGCTCAGTGGCTAGAGCACTCGCTTTGCAAGCGAGAGACCTGGGTTCGATTCCCGGCAGGGTGAAACCTTGGGCAAGTTTCCTTACTCCACACGCCTAATAATAATCCCTAAGAAAAAAAATAATAAATTGGTCGCTTCAATCCACGACTGTTTGTGAAACACTGCTGTGCTCAATTGGCTGCCGCATTTCACCCACAAATATACAGTCAATTCACTTTACAGTCTATTCTTGGAAGCACTTTGAGACGTCTCGAGGATGCGCTACATCAAATGCAAGGATCATTATTATCACCATGTTGGGAATGTCTCAAAGCAGGAATTCCTATCAAGTGACTATTTGTAGGTGAACATGGCATCCAACCAGGATACAGAAACATTTCACTAGCAGTAATGAAGTTTGACCAATTATTTTGTATCAGGGGGATTGTTATCATGCCACCGGGACCCAACCTTCTTTGCAAATAGTGGATTCCTGTAGCGTATTGCTTAAGAGCACTCGTCTCGCAAGCGAGAGAACTTGTATTTGATTCCCCAGTAGGGCAAAACCATAGGCAAGTTTCCTTAATCTACATGACTCTGTTTACCTAGTAGTAAGTAGGAACACGATTATTAGTCCATTGGTTTATTGCTTTCTGGGGGTTATAATCCTTTTTTTTAAAAAAATAAACAAATTTGGTTATTTAATCCATCACAATTGGCTGCTGCGTTTTGCCCACAAAATATACAGCCAATTCACTTTACAGTATATTCTGAGAAGCGTTTTGAGACATCTCAACGGTGTGATAAGGCGCTATATCAAATGAAAGGATTATTCTAATAAAATTAATATAGTGCCACAGGATCTTTAACATTCTCCTGAACAAACAGACGGGACCTCAGTTTGCCTCATCCGACAATGAGCTCAAAGCTCCAATGTGGGGCTTCACCCAGAATATCCTGACTGAGAGGTGAGGCAGCAACAGTTTAAACAGTTCTCATTTTTACTCTCTCCCAATCGTTATGATAACAACAACAAGATTACATTTGTATAGCGCCTTTCACGTTGGGAGGATGTCCCAAAGCGCTGGATAGAGTACAGCATTTCAGACCCGAGCTGGGGTTGGGGGGGTTAGGGAGGGGAGTGGCCGATGGCATGGTTGAAGATGAGGGTCTTGAGGATGGACTTGAAGGAGGCTAAGGAGGGGGAGAGGCGGAGTGACTGGGGGATGGAATTCCAGAGGCTGGGGGCAGAGTGGCTGAAGGCTCTCCCGCCAATGGTGGGGCTGGTGGGTCGGGGGACGTGAAGCAGGCCGGAGCCGGCTGAGCAGAGGGAATGGGCGGGTTGGTAGGGGGTTAGGAGGTCGCAGAGGTAGGGTGGGGCGAGGCTATGGAGGACTTTGTATGTGAGGACCAGGATCTTGAACTGGATCCTCTGAAGGATAGGAAGCCAATGAAGTCGCGTGAGAGTGGGGGTGATGGGGTCACAGAGTTTGGTGCGGGAGAGGACATGGGCTGCAGAGTTCTGGGTTATCTGCAGCCTGTGGAGGGAGGAGTTGGGAAGGCTGACAAGCAGGGCGTTTGCATAGTTGAGCCTGGAGGTGATGAAGGCATGAACAAGAGTTTCAGCGGCCTGAGGGGTGAGGTAGTGGCGGAGTCGGGCGATGTTATGGAGGTGAGGGAAGGCAGAGAGGGCTTGAATGTGGGGGAGAAAAGACAGTTGAAGGTCATACATTTAAAAAAACCCTGAACCGGCAATATTTTAAAAAATCACTTTTGGCTTTCAGTAATGACAAGTCAGGACTCCGGTAAACTACTGGAAAGGAATTTGGAGGAAAATATAAAAATCACCTTTTTTAAAAAAGATAGTTCATCCAAATTACTGAGACCAGGGGCTTAAATTTCTTTTACAAAAAATGTTGGCAGTAGAACAGCGAATATTGTGCCAAAATAACATTTGAAAACATTAGTCTGTATCATTTCCTCCTACTCCTCTCAAAAATGTTTAAGAGGCCAGTATAAGTTGAGGAGACTGCTAACTACGTCTTGAATATACTGTATTTTGGGCTTTCACGCAAGTCTGCAATGCTTGACGCAGCATAAACCGCAGCTTATAGTTCAGCCCAAACGAAGCCTGACAGATAGATTTGTTGTTACTGTGTTTCATATCGTTTTTTTTTAAAAATCAAGGTTTAAATTTCCTTCAGTTTACAAGTTTAAATCAACATGTGTTTAATCACTTCCTCATGTGTTCATTAACTAGTTAATGTTGTTATAACGACTGCTTACTCCTATAATGTGTTTAGTTCCAATTGCCTGATCGCTGGGAATCCACCTTCGACAACAAAGGAACTTTTAGATCACATGGTTGCAATTGTGTTTCTGGTTCGAACTCTGGCAGTACATCCAGATAGCCCTGCAATGTGGTTTAACATCTGGCTGGTCCCAGCCACAAAACATGGTGGCCAGTTCATACAGTGGATGCAATTTAGCTTCCTGCCCTAACCACAGAAAGTGTCACCTCAGAAAATGCCAGTAACCACCTCCTCAGGCAACTGTACCACCCAGTTTATGTTACAGTGGTGTCTCCAGTTAAGACTGCTGTCAGAGACAGCTGTAAGGTAAATAGGTAGTAAACTATTTTGTCTGTTCAAACCTATTGCACGTAACAGGATTTTATTTTCTATACTAATCTCATTATCCATGACCCTCTGAGGGATCATGCAGACTCTATCCAGCTAACATAGCATGGATAGCAATCTGATCTGCCTTCTAATTGATCAACCTGACCATTATTAATTAGTGAACATCCTGTTGTATACTGATGATTTAGTTCTTAAAAACAACTCAAGGGAAGGCATAAAAACCCACTGACCATCTGGAGTATAAAATGCAGCTCGGAAAAGGCAATTAAAAGAACAAGTCAATCTACATTGCTATCTTCTCCCCCCCACTCACTAATGCAAGAAATCAACATGAATAGAAACGAATGGTTGGAAATAGCAGCCAAATTCAAGCCCCGAGGTGCCCTTTTGTATGTACTTTTGTACATGCTCATCAACAAAATACACAGCATGCATCACACAGTCACTACACTTTGAGACGCACTTACCGATGTGAAAGCTTATATCAAATGCAAGGACTATATTACTATTATATAACCCATTTCCAAGGGCTATGGACTAACCCCAAAACATTCTGTAAATTGGGAGTTTCTTTGAATGGTCTTGTTTACATGTAACCAAGAATTGTGTTCGCTATGGTCACATAACTAATTGAGTCAAGTTTGAATGTTTAGATGTCATTTCTCCCATTTAATATAAATAAGATTTCAGGATGAAATTAACATGATACAAAAGTCTGTAATTTTGCGAGCCGGAATTTCCAGCTAAATGTAAATACTACCGGTAATGCATTTACTAGCATTTCTCAGCATTAGGTTTTTTTTAAATGCATGAATGTACTACATGTTAAACTTAGCTCCAGCGCCATGCTCCGCCACTGTCAAATGCTCTGGGACGCTACCCTGCAAGAGGGGCACTATATAAAGGGAAGTTATTGTTGTAGCTATCTTCTGCCCATGGGATTCCAGCCTTATTAAACAAACAATGTGAGTGTTACTGTAAGAGGTTAACACAAACACAAAAAACGTAGGCACTCACTAAAGCAGACCTACATGCAGACACTCTGAAGGATGGCCATTGTGAAGGTTGGCAAGGACAGGGAGGCAGGAAGCTGCAAGCATCACATGGGCTGCTCAAGACTGGAGTGTTGGGGCGCGCTAGGAGAGTTGGGCTGCCGGGTGTCTACATGCGGGCCTGCGGAAATTGTTTTTAATTTTTCGGGTTCAGGCCTGGTCTGGCTAGGTTCCAATTCCAGATACCCAGAGTCTGGGAAACCAAGGGTTTACTGTACACATCAGCATTCTGAACAGAAACACTCATCAGAAAAATCACTCACTCTAACAATTCATAATTGGATTTCTTCTCCAAAGCATTCCCTCGCATTTCTCTGTAGAATCTCCTAAAAAAAAAAGCAAAAGAATGGAATCATTAGTTCAAACCTTTGTTGACAGTGATATTAATAAACGTTATATATTCAAATAAACTACTCTACTGACAAATGTTATACAGTTTTTCAAAATCAGCCATTTAAGCATAGTGCATTGCTCAAACAAAGCAAGTAAGAGAGAACCAGTTGTAGTGTAAATCAAGTGTTTGCAATGAGGTTAACAGGCTAGAAATTGCCAGTTAATTTATTTGAGAGAGAAGCAATCTTCTTATTAGTTAATTAGATATCTTAGACTTTGATAAATAAAGTTAACAAAATACCTATCATCCACCCAGTGGGGGCTCAAACCCACTCTTGTTGGATATCGTACGTCCAACTAATGACGATCCTCCGGGGTGGGGGGGGGTAAGCGGGGTCGCCTTGGAGCTGAGCTGGCTCCAAGGTGACATGCCTGGCAATGGAATGTTGGAATCAAGCCAGCCCTCTCTGGTGGTCTCAGTAGTCCAGTTCCTAAGCCAGACGGGTCCACAGTTTTCCAGGGCACTGCTGATGAGCCAGGCTGGCTCATCAGCAGGACCTGGAAGGGCAGACCAGTCACTGGGGCGGGGAGTCATCCCACTCAGCTCCTTTTAACCCTGCAAGCCAATGCACTTAATGGGTAGGGTGGTTCCAGCTAGACAAGCAGCGGGAAAGCTTATCAATGACAAGCTATACGGTTTTAGCTGGTTAGACTCAAGCAATACCTCAACATACACTCTGGGGTCCCCAAATTTTGCCTCTTGCCAACCTGTGGCTAATACTTTCCAGAATTAGGTAAGCAGGATGCATCCCTCCAGAGGAGACAATGCGCATTCTATTCCAACAATCTGTCTCTGGGATTTCCATGTGTAGGTGGGATGCATGGAAATCTCAGCTTAAGCACAGTGATGGGTTTCTGTATGACTGACCCCCCAAAAAATTAACCGAATTGCAAATGAGAAAAGTCTGGTTTTAAATTGTTCTAGTTGCAGTGAGATATGATTTGCCTTTTTAGTCAGTTTACAATGAGACCTGTATACCTATGGAACCACTTTTGCGGAAATGCTATTTCAAGTTATATCCAATAAGTCAATCTATGCATTTAAGATAATTAACAAAGAAAATACAAATGTAATAAACAGTCGAAATAAAACATCAACATAATTACCCCTTTCCACCCCTTCCCCTCTCACTCTATTCCATGGCTGTTTGTTAGAATAATGTACACAAATTGGTTGCTATGTTTTGCCTGCAAAAGACAATCACTACATTTTATAGTAAATCATGTGATACGCTATGAGATGTTGTTGTGACGTGAGAGGCGCTGTGTCCCCTGCAAGGATTATCATTATTTTTCAATGGAAGAATATCCGGTTTTAGGTTCCTCTCCTGCTCTTTGCAAGAAAAAGTGTGGTTTTATATTCAGAGAACTTTTTCCTGGGAGAGAGCTTCTCTCAGTGTGTTCAATTTTTTCATGGCTGTTTATAGATATGACAACTTGCCATGTTTGCTCACAAAAGGACTATCACTACTGCACAACACTAATCCCTTGTGAAACGCTTTGGGATGTTTTGATGCTATATCAAATACAGCAATTATTATTACTTTAATGCTGCACAAAAATAAAACATTGCACTATATGATGTTTGGTCCCTCAGGCAGATTCTAAAAGAATTTTCTTGCCTGTATGCCAAAACACAGTATCAACAGAAATTGCACTATTTATATAGTGCAATTCATGTACAAATATCTTAAAGCCCTTCTCATTAATCTATTTTCTTAAAATGCAAGGAAAATATTTTGTTGTTTCCCCCTTTATATAATGTCTCAGAACAAGTAATTATACAGAAGGATATGAAGCAAACCAACCTGATTTCAAGGCATCCCAACTTCAGCGCAATATCTTGGTCCACTTGATCTGCAATGTCCAACATATAGTCATTCTTGACCTAAACAGCAGAATAGCACATTCAATTAGTTCAATCAAGGAAAAAAACACAGTGAAATACTTTGTTAATCACCACACAAATAATTTGAGTAACTCCAAAAGAGAAATAGACAACAGCTTGTGTGCAGCAATACCAAATATTAGCTGGGGTGACAGTAGAGGTGCCCCAATTTGGCTATGTCCCTTTGGTTTAGGCAGGGAAAAAAACAGGTAAACTGGAGTACCCAAATCTGATTGCTACTTGGTGAGCTCTATTGCAAAGTGCATGTCTGTAAACAGCAAGTGATGACTCAGTCAGGATCACTTATGTTCTTCTCATTGCCAACATTCATTAGGTCCTTATACCAGGCCACCAGTTAAGCACCCTCAGACCCACTCATCCATTTCTCATTGATCTCCTCGACCTACTGTTGCTAAAGCAAATTAAACCAGTTTTCTGCTGTTCCTTTTAAGAACTGCAGAAAATCCACTTCCAAATTGAATTTAAGAACTTTTCAAAGTAATCTTAATTTTAAGACCACAGTTTTAATGTTAAGATTGAGATTTTCCATTAAAAATGGACTCTCGACAGGTAAGTGGAGGATGAACAGATTCACATGGCTACGTTTACACCACTGAAGTTTAAACTAACATCTTACAGCACCTCTTTAAGATGGTCTTAGCAACCAGCTGCAAATCATTGTGCCTAAAATCTAATTTATACCATGTTCTCCTTGGGAAAGCATAATAATGCACATCATTTAGTGCAAATTATTAAAACATTCCAATGCTCTTCAAACAAGTTACTTTCAAGTTAAAAATTCTCAGTCACAGGATGGTATTTATTTCCAAGCAACAGCATCCCACACAGTACAATCTACAAAGTGCATAATTCATTTTCCACAGCTCTTATATAAGGTATTACACCCTGTTCTTTTGTAAATATTGGCAAACAACCCTTTTGCCTCATGGATCTCCAGGATGAGTTTTGCATTTAATATCAGATCTACTGGGATTATTCTGCTGCAGTCAATACGGCGCGTCCTTCCGATGTGTGGGAAGCAGCAAGTATCAGAATGTTATTAGATCATAGAGGGGATCACAGTTGATTACCACGCATGCACTTTATAGCATGTATCAATGGATAGCAATCAGGAGTTGGAACCTTGGAAAAATTCTCCAGAGTGCTGCACAAGAGTACTAGGCGTAGGAAATGCTGTTAATGGCACTCTCTCCACACTAAGCATGCCCAAGCGAGCTGAGGGTCTAGTCAGTGGCAAACTGATGCCCTGAAAAGTAGCTATTTATGTCATAAAAAAAATTGTTCAATTTTTAAATGGATGAAAATGTGTTTGTGTTGTATTGTGGACTTTGGCAAAAAATGGTGATAACTGTTCACTTTTTTTTCAAATCCAGGCAAGTCACTGCCTAACCTATATTTGATGTGGAGTCCTGTAACTCAGTGGTTAGAGCACTCGCTTTGCAAGCGAGAAACCAGGTTCGATTCTCGGCAGGGTGAAACCTTGGGCAAATTTCTTTACTCCACACGCCAGATAGTAATCCCTCAAAAAAATAATAATAAATTGGTCATTTCAATCCATGACTGTTTGTGGGATACTGCTGTGCGCAACTGCCTGCCACATTTCGCCCACAAATATACAGTCAATTCACTTTACAGTCTATTCTGTGAAGCGCTTTGAGACGCCTAGAAAACGTGAAAAGCACTATAACAAATGCAAGATTATTATTATTATATTATAACCTACTTTAGGGCAGCAAAAGGAAGCATGAGATTTGTAACAAACATACATTTAAAAATGAAGCATTCAAAAATCCTCTAGGCCAATGGCTTGCACTGCAGATTGAATCAGACTTGATCAATCCCAACAAAATTCTCCTGTGAATCTTAAATCATTACAGCCACAATAGTACTAGTCAGAAAATCTGTGGTTAACACCACTGTGACCCTCCCCCCATTCTTGATTGCTCTTCACTCTAAATCATGCCTAGCACACCACAAACTGTTTCTAATCCAAGAGAGTAGGCAAACCTACATCCTGCAGCAATTATGTACATCAGAAATATTGCCAAAGATACCTTCTAAGGACACATGTGAAAAAAAAATCTGCTTTTCTCCTGCATTTGATCTTGCCATTCTGTATCTGCCTCTCTCTATTTATGTACTCTAAATTCAGACTTACATTGTTGTTGATGTATGCTGATTTTGCTTTGGGGGAAACTTCATACATGAAAGTTTATGCTTTGTATGGTTTCCTTCAACCCTCTTTATGATTAAAAAAAGGAAAAGGTTTCACGGTATGTTCAAAAGCCCTGTGATCACCACAAGGAAATGCAAAATCAGTGGAGTTTTTTTCAGATTTGATATGACAGATAGCACTATTTAAATTGTTATTAAGTTTATAAAAGAATATTATCTCTTTAAAAACCGTCGAGACTAAAGTATTTGGAAGTCCCACAGGATAGCAAATGCCAAGCAAATTAACTTAACTAACTGCAATTTGGTGCATATAGTGAATGCACACAAGTCACAAATGAATGCACAATAAATTGCTTAAACTACTTTTGGACAAAAAGCTATGCAAAAGCACTGTTACAACATTTGAATCAAGCAGGAAGAAAAGGGGACGTCCTATTAAATTCTCTGTACACTAAATATTTAAATTAATTTTTTTTTTACGGTTATGGACTTTCAGTTTATCTGATCTAAGCTTTTTTTTAAGCACAGGAAGCAAACCAGCCAGGTTAGAATTTTATGGATCCTAACTATCATGTTATAACAAGGCTCCATTGTAATAAACTGTTGGAAGCGCATGTAAATTGGAAAAATAGTTGTGTTGCGAAAAGAAAATCACACAAAAGCTTTCTCTTTAGCTTTTGTGCATTTCTATCATTTTCTGAAATAATTTTAAACAGAACTATACAAGCTGAATTGGGGCATAGCAAAAAATAGAGAAACAATGATCTTTGTAATGTGCTCGTGATCCAGCAGACATGCTGCCCTGACAGCATGGATACTTCTGCCTATGAGCAGAGCATTTTTGCCATATTCTTTTTCAGCCTTAGACTTTAGAGTTATTTGTCTTCTGGGCACGTTGCTTCACCATCACTCGATGTGGGAAAAGTTCACCCGGCTGGATGAGTAAGATTAATGGTTATGCAATATTGAATCCTGGATGGTATAACTGTCTATAAAAATAAATTGTTTAATACAAGCGTCAAGAGCCAAACGTGCTTCCTGTTGCAGGGGAAAAAATTATTGCTAACCCATTCACTTGAAGCAGCTCTGAACACAGTAAAAGAAAACATATTTCAAATTGAAATGGGTTCTTGCATCTTGAGTACGTGATGGGCTTCATCTATCAACAAAAGCTGATTTGTAAACTGAACTAAACACAAAAATTGACACTAATGTCCACCAAATATGGTAGAAACTATAGATAAACATTGCCCATGAACGGTAGAATAAAAAAAAGAAACATTTAAATGACCAATCATGTTTTGGGGTTTCAAGTGTATACAGAGTACATTTAATATAATATAGTAATAATCCTTGCATTTGATATAGCGCCTTATCACGTCTTCGAGACATCTCAAAGCGCTTCACAGAATATACTGTAAAATGAATTTACTGTATATTTTGTGGGCGAAACGCAGCAGCCAATTGTGCACAGCAGTGTTCCACAAACAGTCATGGATTAAGCGACCAAATTATTTTTATTTATTTTGAAGGAGTTATTACCCCTGGAAAAGCGATCTGCCAATCGACTAACAACTGGCTTCCTACTTACTGCTACGTAAACAGAAGTGTGTGGAGTAAGGAAACTTGCCCAACGTTTTGCCCTGCTGGGAATCAAACCCAGGTCCTCTTGCTGGCACTTTTCAATGTTTTTACAGAGCGCCAAATCATTTATACCAAAACCCCCCACCAGCCCGCTCCCTCTTCTTGCCAATTTTCCCATTTTTTCTTCTCCCGATGCCATTTGATTCTTTTCCATTTTACCGGCCAGTACTGGTTCCGTACATGCCCAAGTGGCCATTTCTCTTGAGCTATGACAGTGATTGTTAAACTACTTGATTACATGGGATATCAAGTCGAACCTGATCCCTGGCCAACAATCCCCCAAATAATACTGGTCATTCAATTCATGACTGTTTTTGGGCCATTGCTGTACCCAAATTGGCAGCCATACTTGCCTACAAAAATAGTCTCTGCGCTTTGCAACAAATCCTGTACAGCACTTTGACACATCCTCCCAATATGAAAGTCGCTTTATCAAATATAAGGATTTATGTTTAATTTTCATAATATTTCAAATCAATCTATCCCATTCCTCATCCATATCCTTGTGCAGATCTCATTAAAACCACTTATCAATTTGCCTTTTATACAGGTGGGTTTCATTAGTGAATGTTATATTAAAAGAATCACCTTCCTCCATAGGGCTTATTAATAATGTGTGAACAGCTGACGACCCAGAACAAACCTCTGAGGAATGCAACTCGTGACCGACCTTCCCCCCTCCCTCCCCAACACTGACCTTTCTTTTTCTGATCCCCTTTTGCCTTCTATTGCCATGTTATTTTTCAAACATGTTAACTAAACTAACTGCATGCACCTCATGTTTCTATAAAAATCGCTGATCCAAAATTTTACCCTACACGTTCTGAAAAAACAAATGAATTAATGCCCAAACCTTTGCCTCAAAAATTTATGACATCCTCAAAGAATGGCAGTAGATTTGACAGTCCAGAGATGCTGAGAGCAAGAACTATAATTTCAAACCCTCTCCTAAGGAGAATTTGGCATTTGCACTATCCTCCTTAACCTGGAGACATAAAGCATTCTACAGAACCAGCACTATTATTCCTATATTGACTAACCAACAGGCACACTTGGACCAAACAACAATAAAATCCCAATTTTAAGTAGTCCTTTCCCTTCCAGCTAGCCCTGGCATTGTGACCTTATAACCCAGGGTAAAAAAAACCCAATTAGATATT